AAATATTTTCGTGCAAGTTACATCCTAATCATCCGTTTTAAAATAAGAAATGTAATATTTGCGATATGCACTAAAGTATAGCCGTTCCCATTACTACAAACTCAAACTATTATGATTTGGCCTACTCCCCGTTTCCGGCTTGATGTCGACCTCTAGGACTCCCCATTTTGATTCAAATAGCCACAAAAAAAAAAATGTACCACTTGTCATTGTTTCTGAAGCATCTTCTCACAAATGACGCTTTTTTTGTTGCAGAGTACCAATGTAGTGAACACTTGGAGTCCGCAAGGTGAACTGCCCTTGGAATTAGCATTGCGAGCTCGAAACTCCAGTATAGCGACGACCTTGGTGGAACATGGGGCTGACGTGAATGCCAAGGATTCGGAAGGGGATGTCCTGATACACAGAGCTATCAAGAAAGAATATGCATTCGGGGCATTGTTCTTGTTGAAGCATAACTGCGATGTGTCGAGCACCACAAGGTAGAAAGTTCACTAATTGATAGAATGAGACTTCGCTATCCACGGTTTTTGGTGGGTTATAGCGTGTGCAAGAACGAGTAGCAGTTGCGTTATGCTCCTTGGTACATTTAGTCCATCTGTTTACTTCTTTCATATGGCATTGTGACCAAACCGCCGAAAACAGTTAAAAACACTATAATTTATTTATTACACTGGACAACAAATTTTAGTTTTTTAATTGTATCTTGTGGCAAAAGTGCACTTCTTTGTTAATTTTGGGGCGCTAAATCCAAAAATGACAATGAAATAAAAAATTAGTTGCGGTTTAGAAAAAAAACTTTTTATTTATAAGGATATATTAAAAAAAGTAACAAGATTCATATACTTATAAGAATCACTATATGCGCTGTACCTTTTTGCTGTTCTTTTATGGATCGTTTCTGGAGCATCTCTACCAAGAGTCCAACAGTAGTCTGCAAGCATGGAAGGATTCCACTTTCCCTGGTACCTTTTTTCCATTGTTGAAATATCCTGACGAAAACGTTCGCCGTGCTCATCACTTACGGCTCCGCAATTGTCAGGAAAAAAGTCCAGGTGTGAGTGTAGGAAATGTATCTTAAGAGACATATGTATTACAGGCCATCTTTTGATACGATGACAGCATATTTTTGACAAGGGTTTTATAGTTGTCAGCTTTTCTATTTCCCAAGAAATTAGTGACCACCAGACGGAAATCATTCCAAGCCGTTTTTTCAATACCTGTTAAAGTGTTTTCAAACTGTGTATCTTTCAAAATATTTCGAATCTGTGGCCCAACAAAAATACCATCTTTAACCTTTGCCTCACTTAGTCTTGGAAATTTCTGACGCGGGTATTGAAAAGCTGACCCATCTCTATCTAATGCCTTGACAAAGTTTTTCATTAGGCCCAACTTGATATGCAGTGGTGGTAATAAATTTTTTTTCGAATCTACTAATGGCATATGCTGTACATTTTTTTGACCTGGCTCTAGGAATTGACGAACAGGCCAGTTTTGTCTGGTGTAATGAACTGCCTTTGCCCGACTGCCCCATTCACACTAAAAAACAGCAAAACTTTGTGTAGCCTAGCTGCAGCCCAAGTAAAAGTGCAACAACTTTCAAATCGCCACAAATATGCCATTGGTGCTCATCGTATTTTATGCATGTCAATAGGTACTTCATATTATCATATGATTCTTTCATGTGAACTGCATACCCTACAGGAAGAGATGGTAAAATATTTCCAATATGCAATAACACTGCCTTTAAACTCAATGTTGAACTGTCTATAAACAATCTCCATTCTTCTGGGTTATAGTTTATATTTAAAGCCGCCAGTAAGCCGTTAATGTTACTGCAGAAAACCAAGTTATTCTCCATATTGAAAAATGGTTCTAAGTCTTTGTGGCGTTTACGAAAAACACATACCGATACATCGTCTTCTAACAAGTTCCGCTGCTGCAGTCTTGATCCAAGTAACTCTGCCTTACATTTTAGAAGTTCTAAATCTCTTACAAGATCATTTAATTCTGACTGTGTTATTTTGTGCGGTTGGTGGCATGACGTGCTCGGTATAAAATCAGGATCTCTTGACCTTGATGGCATATCTTCTTCCTGACGAATCACTCGATCGCCATGATCTGATTCGTTTTCTGATTCGCAAGTGTAGGATTCTGGGGGTTTTGGAATAGAATTTTCGTCACTGTGAGGCACAGGTCTCATCGCAGATGGTATGTTTGGGTAGTTAATAGCCGATTTTTTTTCTTGGACATACCTGTGGCTTGTCCAGCACAAGGTACCATGCAAAAGTAACAATCATTAATATGATTTGTAGGCTCTCTCCAAACCATTGGGACAGCAAAGCGCATAGACCGTTTTTTGCCATTTAACCAGCTCCTCAGACTTGAAGCACATGTACTACAGCAGATGTGGGGTGCCCACTGTTTGTCTTGATCACCTAGTTTACAACCGAAATAAAGCTGATATGCCTTTGTTATTAGTGGAGTAATAGACCGTCTCTGAGACGCAAAAGTCACATCACCACACACGTAACAAAACTGATCAGGATTGTTTACACACTTTCGAGACATCTTGCGTGAACGCTGTCAGCCAACTGAAGAAAAAATGGCTAATATAAAACAATATAATGTACACGAATGTATAACGTAACACAATCATGCCGATTACATCATCTTTCCTTGTCGAATATAAAAATGTAGCACGTGCATTCTTGTGAATTACAGTATATTAACACTGTCACAGCAGGAACACATATAATTACCGTATCTCTAAAACTTGAACTAATATTGAAAAAATAAGTTTCATTCCGGTTTTAGCACATTAAAAATAGTAATATTTTGTTGATTTTATTTAGGATATTTTTGGCTGTTGATCAGTGTTATTCATTCTATTCTACAGACGTAGCGTAAGTGAAACGATTTTGTGATTATTCAAATACATGGACCTTTTTTCCATCGCCATTTTGTCTTAAAAGCGCCATTACTTGAGATTTATTCCAAAAAAGTATTTTTGTCTAGGGTTTTTCTTTTGTGATTCTTCTATATTGTTCGTTTCAAATATACGAGTACAAGATGATTCACCTTTTTCTGCTCTCCAGCTGAAATGATAGTTACCACAGACATATCCAAAAGAGACTAATTTCCAGAAAAATATACCTTTTAAGGCGGCTCCGACGCAGTGAGTTTCAAGCCATTTACAAGAGTTCAGCTGCTTCAAAACTGACACTCCATTTTTCAATATTTTTGAATGAAATTCATACAGTATGTTGAGAAGATAATTGCCCAGGGTGCTATAGGAGCACTTTTTGAAATTTTATTTTGGCACAAGTTTTATGATGGGTTGAAGTGCGGACATTTTCTGTTGAACTTCGCGATTTTTTTAAAAAGAACCTAGTGAAAAAAATGAAAAAGTGGCTCTGCCTCCTGTGGGGTTTTGTTTTCAGCACTCTGTGAAAATTTCATCCAAAACTATCAAAAAATAAAGCGTCAATTTCGAAGCGCTCAAAACCTCTACAAATCGTATTTTGGACGAATTTTGTCTACTGTTTCGTGCTGCCAACCCAAGCGTTGCGGCGCAATCTACGGACTAAGAAAGGACGTATTCAGATAATTTGGTGGCCCTATTTCATCACCCAACCAACTAGGATAACTTTAACCACGGCAACCTCCATAGATGTCATTTGTACAACAAATAACTTAGCTGAATCATTAATTTCAACTAGCTCTGCACCTGTTCCAAATTTGTCAGATCATAATGTTGTCAGATGTGACTTCAACATCACACGACCTAAGAATTTTCAAAAGATTGTCAAATATAGAGACTTTAAACATTGTTGTAAAGATCAGTTTTTGGTGGATTTGTATAAAATCCCATGGGATGATATATATTACATCAGTAACTTAGAGGATAAAGCTACGTTTTTTTTTCTAATCATATTTTGGATTTGTTTGATGTCCATGCTCCTGTTGTTTCAGCACGTATTACTAAACCTTATGCTCCATGGCTCACAGGTGGCATAAAATTTTTGATCTCTGAGAGAGATAAAGCCTTCAGAAAGTATCAGATTTTAAAAAGTCCAGCTAGTCTCGAATATTACCAGAAATTAAGAAATGATGTCATTTCCGCTATTAGGCGGGAGAAAGTAGCATATCTAAGCTTCAATGAACAACTAAATAGTAACAAGCATCTCTGGAAAGCTGTACATTCATTGAAACTCAAAACTAATGTAGATAGATCTTTACCTACGCAGTTGAAAAATGCCGATGAAGTAAACAATTATTTTTCTTCCGTTTTCACGCCTTCGGGCAATTGCATGGATCTAGTTGATAAATTTAATAGTACCAAAATTAATAAAAGTGTTAGATTTGAATTTAGTTTTTCTACCTCACAAAATGTGCTAGACATTATTCTGTCCCTAAAATCTAATGCAGCAGGTTCGGATGGTATAACAGTCTCAATGCTTAAGCATTGCTTGCCTCGAGTACTACTACCATTGACGCATTTATTGAACTGTTGCCTGGAGGCTGGGTATTTCCCTGATGCTTGGAAACTATCTCTTGTCAAGCCCTTGCCTAAATGTAAAAATCCAAAATGTCTCTCAGACTTAAGACCTATAACTTTGATTCCTGTTATATCGAAGATATTGGAGAAATTGATTAAACATCAGGTTTATCATTATTTCTCTAATAATGATTTCTTTCCCACGTGTCAATCTGGTTTCCGCAGTGGTTTTAGTACAACTACAGCTTTAGCAAGGGTTTTAGTTGTCATCATTGCTTCGCTTGATAAGGGAGATGCTTCAGCACTTGTATCATTAAATTATTCTAAGGCGTTCGATAAAATAGATCATGAGCTTTTATGTGCTAAATTGAAGTTTTTTGGTTTTTCAGACATACCTCTAATGTTTTTATAACATATCTTTCAAATCGTAAACAAGTAGTAGAGATAGACAACACTATATCTAGTCCGATTGATATAACATCAGGTGTCCCTCAGGGTTCAGTTTTAGGGCCCTTGTTGTACTTAATTTATACTATAGACTTGGGTAGCTCTGTGAAAAACTCTTCTGTGATGTGCTATGCCGATGATACACAGATATATAAGAGCTTTAATAGTAACACTTTACATACTTCAATCAATGAGCTTAATGATGATTTGGAGGCAATAGTAGGATACTGAAATGGTAACAATCTTAAGCTCAATAAGGATAAGTGCTCAGTGATGCTTTTTTGTCCTGCTGTCAAACGTAACACTATATTGAATTCTCTTGATGTAAAAATCGACAAGGAGCGTCTAGCTGTCGTAAATACTACAAAAAATTTAGGGTTGATTATTGATTATACTTTACGGTTTAAGGAGCATGTGTCGTCTATCTTAAAAAAATGTTATGCAATTTTGAAGTGTTTTTATGTCAATCGCTCTATTTTGAATTTTAAAGTTTGAAAAAAGTTATGTGAGGCTATTATATTTCCAAGCTTATTTTACTGTAGCACTGTGTTCTATCATTGTCTTGATTCTATCACAAAAGCAAGACTCCAAAAACTCCAAAATACTTGTTGTCGGTTTGTATTTAATCTCAAGAAGTATGATCATGTTTCCTTAAAGAGATTTCAGCTTGGTTGGATGTGTATAGAAAATGCTTGCAAGTACCATATAGCAGTGTTTACACATAAGATCATATCTTCTCGATCCCCCTTGTATCTTTATGAGAAATTTGTTTTCAGACGAAATAATTAGGACATTAATTTCAGACACAAAAAAAGACTAGAGATCCCTATGTATAAAACAACTTTATTTCGTAGTTCATACACTTACAATGCTATCCTGATTTATAACGAATTAGATGACAATATAAAGGATTGGCCAGTAAACAGATTTCGCAAGCATGTGAAACAGATATATTTGTCATTGTAGTGGAAAAGTTAGTTTTTAATTCTTATATTTTATTTTATTTTTACGTAATATATGTGTGTATATATTATGTATGTCAGGAAGCTATCAAGCTCATTGTTTTGAAGCGTCTTTGCTGCTTGTCAAAGTTTCCTTTCATTAAGTATTTCAATTTATTATTTGGCTAGGTTAAGTAGACTAGCCAAGAGCTAGATTTCGCCTACGTAGAGGTCACATTATGTTGTAGTTTATGTAATGTGCCTAATAAAGACATTTTATTATTATTATTATTATATAATATCGCGTAGATAAGTCTTTCTGCAAATAGGTACTCATAATCGCGATTGCCGATTTTAAAGCAATTGCTGAAACCCCGTTTTTGACGTTACAGGGGTTCCTTATCATTGACAGACAAAAATTGTACTGCTTGAAAAGGGGGGGTTGAGGGAAGGTGATTCTAAATGTAGAATCTTTGATATCAGTGAAACACGTTCTATTATTAAGAAGCTTCTGATCCCAGTGGTTACAGGAAATTTAAGTAACGAAAATCCGACGACATTTATTAGTCGATTTGAAAAAATCGGTACCTGCTCTATAGGTTTAACACCAAGAGCCAACAGATCTATCTGCAACTGCCGACAGTAGGGAAGAATGAATTCGGATATCACTCCAGTCAAGTATAGGGAAATTTTTCGTGGAACTTTAAAATTATCGATATGTCAAGGAAATATGTTTTTGAGAACGATAATTTGGTAGATTTTATACCTGAAGTTTCATTTGAATTTCATGACCCGCAAAATATATCCATTTCGCCGTTACGTTCAATTAGTGTTCTGCAGTTTGTGATGTTTTTCTGGATATACGCAGGACATAATTGCCTAAGGTGCTATCAGAGCTTTTTTCAAAATTTTGTCTTTGCGCAAGAATTATCGTGGGTTGAAATGCCTACTATTTGTGCTCAACTTGTTGATATTTTAAAAAGATCCTAGTGGATAAAATCGAAAAAGTGGATCGTTGGCACCCTGTGGACTTTGTTTTTAGCACGCTGCAAGAGTTTCATTTGGAAATAATAAAAATGAAACGTAAGCTGTGAAGTGCAAATCGGTTTTTGGGCGAAATTCGTCTACTGTTTCGTCCTGCCAGCCCAAGCGACGCGACGGTGCGTTCCGACTAAGAAAAAATGTATTCAAATAATTTGATATCTTTCCTAAAATAAATTCAAGAACTCAAATTACAATTCGTTTATTCATGTCAGTAAACACAAATATGTTTCCAAGGGGCATGTGGTACATGATAACAATTGAATGAGAGTCATAAAAATATCTTATGGCGTCAAAATAAGAGGAAACAGTTAGGTAGTTTTTGCAAAGCAATAAACAGGTAGGCTTATACCTGGATTAAGTAAATTTCTTGTCTACTGTAATAGGTAAATGGAGGCGATTCTGCTATACTATAACTATCTAAAACTGTAATGACTCATCGATGTTCACGTGAACATCACTTAACTACCAGTAGTCGGCTGTTCATAGGCGGGGTATGAATGTTTAACATGGGTGAACTAGATTTGTCACATGCTTAATAAAGAGTGGTTTGAAACATATTGTAAGTCAAAAATTTGGGAATTACCTTTATTCATCGTCGCTTCCACTTACATCTGACAATAATAAACTGTCGCTATCGCTTTCCTCGTTGAAATTGACTATAACTGGCTCTATGATGGTGTCGATGTGGTGGTCAAGCTGCCACATTTTTGTTTCTTCCTTCACAACATGACGGATAGCATTCTGCCAAGCTTCGGGCGTTACTAGCTGTATGGAAGTCTCAAGTAAAACCTTAACGTCTGGTAATTTGAAGGTTGTGTTATGGCGCGCAATATAACCCTTCACTTGAGCCCAGATGAGCTCTATTGGGTTCAGTTCACAGTGATAGTGCAGTAACCGCAGCACAGTGACACCACATTGACGGGCCATCTCATCAGTCACGTAACTAATGTTCGCAGGTTTGTGCTGTTTAATTTTTTCATACAATTCCGCTTTCACACATGAATCGTCAAACGGGATTCCTTTTTCGCGCAACCATTGCTGCATCTCACTTTTTCGAGATCCCATAGTCGGTACACGTTCGGCTCCACGACTATGGTAGGAAGCATTATCCATGACGATCACAGAGTTGGGTTCAACTCGCTGAAGCACCCCTTGAAACCAGCTCTCGAAGCAGCTGGCATTCATTTCGTCATGGTAATCACTTCCTTTCTTAGAGACGAAAATCAAGTCACACTCTTCTAAAAAGCCACTATCGCTACCAATATGAGTTACGATCAATCTTTGACCTTTCCCTGACAGTCCACGAAGACCTGTTGACAAACCTTCAATGCTTGCTTGTCGGTTACTCACTACGTTTTTGTCTATCCAGGTTTTTTAACTGTGTGACCTGCATTCACCCATGTCTCGTCCAAATAATAGATTTTTCTGCTTTGTCGCCTATATTCAATCATTTCGCGTAGGTATTTTCGACGCCAGGCGACTATTTCAGGTCTCTCTATCAATACTGACTTCCGATTACGCGTTTCGTAACGAAAATTAATTTCGTGCAGGGATTTCCTCATTACCTCGACGCTCATTTGGGGTATAATTTCATTTTCCTTGATCGCTGCATGTACAGCCTTGAGGGTTGGTATCTCATTCCTAAAGCAGAATGATTGTACGGTTCGCCTTAACGCCATTTTGCTATCGTCATCCAATTTAACGGCCTTTCGTCCCTTCAAATTAAACTTTGGATCAGTAGTAGCTCCAGTTTTCTTCTTTTCATGCACCACCCTGCGAATGGTCCATTCTGGAACGCCTGTCATACTTTCACAACGCGCGAGTGCATCTCCCTGCGACATAGTTCTGTTCAGATAATTGAACACGTTGAGCACGATTTCTTTCGCGTCCCTCTTCAGTGCTTTACGAAGCCGTCTACTTGTTCCCTGGCTTCCACTCGTGCCATTTGTACTCTCCATGGTTAAGTATAACCAAAACAGTAACCACAGAAACCACAACAATAACAATCACATAACAATTCTTATAAAAACACACAATATGCGATCGCTCAACGGTCGAGGCGCGTCTTTGATTTCATTGGTTCTACCGGCGGAGAACAATCAGCCATTATTTCCATCTCTGTCTGTGCTGTTGACCACCGCAAAGCCACAGAAACGACATATGTCGTACGCTATATGGCTGTACTGGAAGGAAGCCGGGATCGAGCTCTGATCACGTGTTGATCACGCGTATGAGTCATTACAGTTTTAAATAGTTGTAGTATAGAAATGGATGTGTGCGATCAATAAACAAACCACAAGACTGAACTGCGGTGTCCAATGATTTTTGAATTGCGTTACTAGGAAACTCTGTTGGGTATATGATGGAGTTTACTAGAACTTTACAGCTTGTTGTCTGCCTTCTTCTACAAACTTCACCAAATCTAGACGCTGTCAACCTTATCCCCCGATGAAGGCGCGACAAAGTACAGCCCGTGATTTGGTTACTTGTTCGATCTGGAAAATCTCGTCGTCACTTTTTTTAAGTTTCCCTAAAAATTTTCGCTTAGCAACCTCCAAATCAATGTAGTTAATGTCAGGTTTTTGATTGAATTCGCCATAAAACTATTCATTTTCTTTGGAATTGCTATCCGAATTGTTAGTTATTTTTATATCAGCTTTTTTTGGTCTGAGTTTCTTTTCAAGGTTCTTGCGTTTGAGTCTTTGTTCCATCTTAGCGATAAGCGAGGTTGGACTAAGCTTAGAACGCAAATGTATTTAGACCACATATACAGGTTGTTGGGTATTGTGGCTCAGTACAGCTGCAGCACATCTTCCATGGTATGACGTCTTCCTGCAACAATTTATTCGCTTACCCCAATGTATTTTGCGATTATAGAGTTGAACTGCTCGACACTATTGTTGACCTCATCATGAATTAAACTCACTGCAAACGTAATTAAAATGGTCGCATATGACCCTTTATTGTCCATTATCAGCCTTGATAAAAAAAGGCACTCAAGAACAGTCACACCAACAACACAATATCGACGAACAGTAACAAGGGGAGAAAAATAATAAATGATCACTTGCTGAGTACCAAAATAAGAAACGATTTACATTCTAGATCGCTAATCAAAATCCGACTCTGTTATTACAAAAATTTACCTTGGTATGCACCCGCAGTCATCCTTTCCTCTTTTAAAGTAGCGCCGAAGACCGTCTAGGCCCAGCCCACCCTCGGTTCCTTTTCACCCCCCCGTTACCTCAGCAGATGGTGCTCGTGATTGTAGGAGCCCCCGTTAATGACTAGGCTGTATTTGTGAAATTTTGCGTATCATTCGCGTATTTCCATGTTTTACTTGATTAGATTTTTTTACTTGCTACGTCATTTTATATTTCAGAAGTGAAAATGATACACCATTACACCTGTTAGCTGGAGCTAATAATATAGAAGACTGTGAACTCATAGCTGAAAATTTAATAAATACAAACGTAAACGTCAATTGCCAGAACAGACAAGGACAGTGAGTATATAAGAATGTTTTTCGCACATTATCCGTTAGGACTTGTAGCTATGGTAACCTTATCTAAAATACAAATGTCATCTTGAAATACCGTAATTTAAAACACAGTTCAGGTAAAATATTTATTTTTCAAAACTATAAAAATATTTTATGTTCATCTGTAACTTTGTTACCTTGTTCTGTAGTGATCTGGATGCTGTGGTACTCTTTAATGTTTTTCCTTTAATAACATTATCTTCTCATTTGCCTTCCCATCAATTTCGAGCTTCGAGTGATGTCGCATTTATCCGCTAATTACGTAGATCTCGACCTTGACAGGATAGCGATGGAGAAGACACAATCGCATGTAAACATAAAATCTAAATGAAGTCAAGATTGGAAACTCATGGAAATCTTGTCAGGTTAAATGACTATTACTGGACTGTTATTTTTATTAGACGGTAAATCATATTTTTAAACTCTGCAGCTCCGCCCTTCATATCGCAATTGAGGCTGACAACCGACCGATATTCGACATTCTGCTAAAACAAGACTACATCAACGTCAACCAAAGAACAGAAGATGAACATACGCCGCTGTATTATGCTCTACTGAAATATGAGGCTGGTGATGATGACTCACGTGATTCGTACGCAGCTAGGCTATTGGCGACAGGAGCTCATCCAAATCCGGTCTATTCGGCCAACAACAGTAGTCTATTGCAGGTCTGTAGTTACTGTCGCTGTTCAAAGGCAGCTGGAGCGCTAGTGACGCACTTTTCACAACCGGAATCCAGATAATTTAAATAAAAAATTGAAGTAAAACTTATTTTTCTTTAGGTAATGATATTATTACCGGAAACAACGTTTTTGCTGCTTAAATTCTAATTTATAACTTTTCCGATTATGTCGACTGGACTTCTACCAATTCGACAGGTGGGAGAGTTGGACTGTCGTTAATGTTAAACGACTCCTTAAAAACTCGGCTGTGATTTACTTGATGTTTTGAATCTCTATTGCAGTTAATACTTCATTTTATTACATCTCTATTCGAACAAATCTTTAACAACTACGGCCACCCTTTTTGTGTGTTTATGTGCCCCTATACGGCGTTTCCCCCATTCTCAGGATAAATTTTTTGTTGGAAGACTGTAAACTTTAGGGGTTGTGGTGTTACGGTTCACTTTTAGATGTTACGACATCTGTTTCACTGTGTAAACGTTTTCTTATAAAATGCACAGATGTGTCCCCATGTTAGAGTCATCACCCGCTGTCTGTCTGACTATACTGCTTCCGCCATCTGTTCGGGTATTTATCTTCAAGCGTCGAATTCCAGAAGTACGCTCCGCGTCTTCTTGATCGAAATCGAAGCAGTCTAGATGACGGTGGATACTTCTTGATGTAGGCAGAACCTTCTGGACGACACCGGAAATCAAAACGCACGTATCTAGATTTGTGAACAACAGCTCTGAATACGGCCATCAGTTTTATCAGATTCATCATTGCCAACGTTACAAAGATAGCACTTGCTGATCAACTGTTCATCTCAGTAGACGTCAAAACGTAATGGTTATTTGCGTAACACTTGTCAGTTGAGAACATTAGTAGCTTCATATACTAAGTGACATATAAATCCGAACACCCAGTTTAAATGGTTTTATTTTAATAAAAGTTGGTGAGTGTATTTATCTTACTTTAAATAACAAGTGAAAAAATTTTCAGCCTTATCAGTTGGACATTCCGGTTTTTATACTGCTTTTTTTAATTCACTAACGCTCTAAAAATGAATATTTCAGCCGCAGTAAAGAATCAACGTTGGCGGATTTTGGTTCTTGACATCCTTTACGATCGGTTACGATGCCTAGAGTACGGAGACCTGTACGATTTCGTCAACTTAGTGAGTTTGATAGGGGCCGTATAGTGGGACTTCGGGAAGCTGGACTTTCTTTTCGGACAATTGCAGTTAGAGTGCAAATAAGTGTAGACACTGTGGTTAAGTGTTGTCAGGCATGGCTTCGAGAAGGCCGTACGCAAAGAGCAAGGGGCACTGGACGCCGCCGTAGAACAACAGACCGTGAAAATCGCCGCCTAAGATTATTGGCCTTAAGGGACCGTTTCTCCACTACCAGGTCCATTGCAAATGAATGGTTTGCAGAACACGGAAGACCTATTGGCATGCGAAGTGTTTACCGACGAATGAGAAGTTTTGGCTTGTTTTCATACCGGCCACACTGGGTCCTCCCTTTAACTCGAGAACACCGACGTAATCGCCTTGAGTGGTGCAGACAACGGTCACTCTGGGATCAGGAATGGAACAGTATTGTCTTTAGTGACGAGTCTCGATTTTGTTTAGGCATGCACGATGGTCGTGCCAGGGTTAGAAGGCGACGTGGTGAAAGGAGAAATCCACAGTTTTTTGTTGAAAGACATGTTCATCACACTGTTGGAGTTATGGTTTGGGGTGCTATAGCTTATGGTTCCAGGTCACCTCTAATCGTCATCAGAGGTAACATGAACGCGCAGCGTTATATCCACGAAGTTCTAGAACCCCATCTTTTACCCTATCTTGACACCCTGGCAGATCCAACTTTCCAACAAGGTAATGCCCGACCACATGTTGCAAGAGTCACAATAGACTTCTTCCAACATAATGATGTCACGTTGTTAACATGGCCACCAAGATCTCCCGACTTATCCCAAATTGAGCACGTGTGGGATATGATGTGTAGGAGATTGCTCAATTTGCAACGTCCTCCTCAGACTCTAGAAGCACTTCGAGAGGAGTTGGTGGTTGCCTGGAATGAGATACCACAGGAGAACATTGGCCACCTGATCAGAATAAAACCATTTAAACTGGGTGTTCCGATTTATATGTCACTTAGTATACATTGTCACTGAAGTTCTTGTCAGTTGGATTTTCCCTCCACTTTGGCTGGTTACCAGTTCGTATTCAAGTAGGGAACTACCGCTCTAGTCGTCACTGTAGGACACTCATACATATTATAACAATAATACAAAACCATTTTTTCTCACAGGTGCTTATTTTAAATGGCGCTGAAAACGCAGCTCTGTTTTTGAGCACACATATGGACAACTTAGACCATGTTAATAATGAAGGTACGTTTTTAAGTGTTTTCTTGTCGGATCATCGACTTACCTGCGAATACTTATTTTTTATTTCTTATAATTATGGGTGTTTTTTTTCTTCAAGTACAGGGTGATTCAGAACACAGTAGAAAATTCATGGAAAGATATGTATTCAATATTTATGCGGAAAGAGATTATTGCCACATCACATGAACTCATGAGCTATTAATCAAACTCGTGTATCGAAATTTAAATGGATGGATTGACGGATTGACACTAGTGCATTTTCAAATACATACCCTTTTTGCATAAATGGGGTTCTATAGTCAGCTTATATCATAGCTCGGAAGTTTGTCAGATGTTGGTTACATAAAGGTTCACGCTGAGCTTATTTGATATACGTATATAAACGTCAAACAAGGTTTTCAGGTTGAGTTTCATTTTCAGGTGAAACAGCTCTCCATCTAGCTTGTTCCAAAGGGTACCATAAACTAGTCGCGTCGTTGCTCAAACATGGAGCTAATCCTAATCTACTAACAAATGAAAGTAGACAGCCAGCACTGCATTATGCTGTTAAAGCAAACTCCGAACAGTGCATCAACTGTATCATTGAATTCAACGAACAAAATGAAAATGCTGATGACCCAGGTAAGAAATGCATTAGGGAGAAAACATGCATGGCAATATCTTCCAGACGACATTTTGAACCCTTTTATTACTCATACAACAAAAATCACTCGTCCAACGTAAAAATGACTCTAAACCTATTGAGAAAAAAGTGTATATTTCGGTATAATCGAAAGTTGAAAATATTATAACTAAGAACACACTGGATCCTAAATGTCGTGAAAAATATTCCCTCACTAAATATCACAAAATATCGTATTATTACAGATTTTGAATTTTGATATATGTTCCAGTAATCCCATTATATTTTATAGGATATTCATATGACAGTAATATGGCATTTCATTTTTAGATAGAATGCAACCTAAGATACCTTGCAACTTCAACATTAGAGACACTAATGGAGATACACCCATTAGTTTAGCACTGAATGAAGGATACAATCATCTTATACCAGTTTTGATCAAGGTCTGTACCTTCAGTAGTTGCGTAAATATACAGGGACTCACTGTAAGCACTTTTAGGGTAAAGCGGATGTTAACGTGCGAAACGGCAAGGATTTTACGTTACTTCATCAAGCTATTTTGAAGGAGGATGCAAAAACTGCAATATTTTTGTTGGATCAAGGAATCGATATAAATGCGAAGTAAGTGGGTATCCTGGCTATATTATTTTTAGTTTTATTTTGAACGAATTTCATTTATTTAATCACATGAATATTTTGAAAATCGTCTGGCCAACCCCATCTCTTACCGTTGCCGATTTTCCAGTGTTTTAATTTATTGTATTCAAAAATGGAATAATGTTGACGTTGAGGGAAATAATATATATATAGGTGAAAAATTAAAGCTTCCGCCTTTTGTTGGGTACTTCGACAAAATTTAGTTGCTGGCTTAACCAACACAGTCTACTCCATCAATTGCAACAACTGCAACCAAATATACATAGGTCAGACCTCCAGATCTCTTAAAGGAAGGATTACATCACACAAAAGTGATTCTAGGCTTCATCCTGAAAGATGCGCTCTAGCATCTCATGTTAACACAACAGGGCATTCTATGAATTACACAAGTATCAAAGTTCTTGATAAAGAAAAACACCTTTCCAAACGTTTATTCCTGGAAATGTCCCACATTTTCATGAATAACAACTGTATCAACAAAAAGACAGATGTTAAACAACTGAGTGTCATTTACTCATATTTGCTAAACTGCGAAAAATTGGAGAACTTACATATCTCCCCAAATTTTGACTCTTCACAACCATAAATAGAATCTGTATCTTGGTCGATTCCACCAGTAATTAATTTCCCATTAATTAAAATATAGTTTATTCAACTGCCTCTGGTCGGTTTAACAATTTCTTACATAACATTCTGAAAATCACATCATCTGAAGTGATTTGGCAACGTTGACACACGCCCACAATTCGTTCCATCTTTCTACACAGACATTGACAACCTTCGGCCTTCTGTCAAAGGGTTCATCTCACTCATTAATCAAATCCAAGCGAATAACCAAAATTTCAGTGTTATCTGCCGCGGTTATAATATGGTTCAAGATGACACACGGGTTGATGACGTCAGTTACACGAATCGCTTGAACGCGTTGGTTTTAACCGCGGTTTTGTTGCAAGTTGTTTATTTTAGAAAAGCGCGTATATAATCTCTGATTATTTTTAATATCACTTAATAATCGGTGCTTTTTCGTCTACAACTGTATATGGAAAGTTTAAATAAGAAACCTTTCATAATATTCTTGGGAGAAATGTTTTTTCAGATTTTTTTTTAATGATGGAACCATGGCTTTGTAGCTTTCAATTCTCTAAATTTTTCCGCATGTCAAAGAAAACATTTATTGATTCAGCAGAAATGATGAAAAAAGAAATTAACAAAACCGTATACAGGTGGATATCATCTAGTGAGTTTATATGGCCATATTTTAATATTCTTGTGGTATATGGATACACAGGATACTTTGTTAAGCATAGGAACTACATTTAAAGTGTCCCCAACAACCGTAATGAGTATAACTAATAAGGTGCTCCACTGTATGGTAAAACTGAAGTCAGCCTGTATCATTTTTTCAAAAATGAAGCTGAAGTACAATAACAATATCCAATACCCGGCAAAATTCTAACTTGTCACATTTCAAATAATAACCAGAAATATAAAACTACTACTACTACAATTTTGCGGTGATAACTATGACATATAACAGCTGATTCGTGACGTCACGGATCTTATAACCAAACTGATAACTACACTCGCTTGAACGGATTGGTAAATACGAACCCAAAATGGTAAATACCATTTCCATTTGGTTATCCGCTTGAATGTGATTATTATTCCATGACCACCATTTTGTGCAATCATCAAGTGGCTTCACGATGTAATGTTCTAAAAAATTTTTAATCTGTTTTTAACTTGTTCTTGTCACACATTTATGTGTATTTTATATGATTTTGACCATTGTACCATCTATCCAGCTTTCACCATGTTACTGGACGTTTCCTTCATCCTGAACGTAAACAACAATTAGCAACATCCTCACATACTACTGTAAGTTAAGTCAATTTAAATTCATTTTACACTATTGTTGCTACTGTTATCATTGTAATTGCAGCTACTGATGATGATGGCAAAGTCCATTGAAAGCTAATAAAAAAAAAAACTTAAATTTTGTCGAAATACCCAACAAAAGGCGGAAGCTTTAATTTTTCACCTAACTGGTCTAGACGACAATGACCACGTCTCAAGTTATATATATATATATATATATATATATAATTGTTAAATTAAAAATATTAGCCACAAAAAATTTCGAAAACGGATTCAGTAATTCAAGACAAAAATATCATACAAACGTAAACAATTCGATGAATCAGCTGCGGTCGTCGTGCGCTCGTATCGCGGTTGCGTTACAGCGTTGCCAAATGATGGAGAAAATTTAATTATTATTACGACTCACTTTCCTTGAAAACGATTGATTTTCGGACATAAGTTATAATGAACTTTTTTGCAAGGAATCATCTCTTTAAGTTACGAATATTATTTCCCTAACACCCTGTATATGAAATATCGTCACTGTATTCTTTGTTCAATGCTTTTCAGAACTCCGGATTATGAAACCCCCCTCCAGTTGGCCATCCACTGTCGACTTGGTGACGTAGTGGACGCACTGTGCACCAGAGGTGTTGATATGTCAGCTCCGGACCGATTAGGAAACTGCGCTTTATGGGCCGCACTAGACTCTGATAAAGAGGATATCGCCAGCATTCTGGTGAGGCATGGGGCTGATACCGACTGCTGGGGACCTGGACCCGAAGGATGCAGGCAAACTTTGTTACATAGGTGAGTAGGAAGACGAGTAAGGAGTACAAAGTTTCTGCTCGTACTGTATTGTATTGTATGGGCCTGTTTGACTGACCCTATTGTACGTGTTCGTACCTTTTTTCTTTTTCTTAGAGGGTTCAACTTGTGCGGAACTTAATCCTTTATGAGCTGATGACTGCATTGTCAACCTACTTGATGCGACATTTTGTATGGTTTAGTTGTCGTATTGTTAGGTAAATCTTCATTTCAGAGCTATAGATGAGAATAAAGAAGGAGCAGCGATATTTTTGATCCAAGCTGGGTGTGATCTAAACTCTCCCAGGTTACCAGGTCCTAATGGGGAAGGTGATGACGAAGCCAAAGATAAAATGTCACCATTGCATTTGTGCTGTCAATGGGGCTTAGAACCAGTTGTCAGGGTATGTTGCTAGGATATAACAACGCGTGAATATTAATATATTATCATTGTCGTTGATTTGTACTCTGAAAACGGCCTTTATTGTGGTCGTTACGTCACTAAAGAGAAATTTCAACGTATGTGGTTTCGTTTGAGCAGAGAAACTTGGAACCAGATGATAAGTTTCATGTTACATAAACAGTCTATTTCTACTATACTACAAATATTTAAAACTGTAATGACTCATACGCGTGATCAACACGTGATCAGAGCTCGATCCCGGCTTCCTTCCAGTACAGCCGTATAGCGTACGACATATGTCGTTTCTGTGGCTTTGCGGTGGTCAACAGCACAGACAGAGATGGAAATAATGGCTGATTGTTCTCCGCCGGTAGAACCAATGAAATCAAAGACGCGCCTCGACCGGCAAACTCATAGGCGTCGGCAACGCATTGGAACGTGTTTCGTTGAGCGATCGCATATTGTGTGTTTTTATAAGAATTGTTGTGTGATTGTTATTGTTGTGGTTTCTGTGGTTACTGTTTTGGTTATACTTAACCATGGAGAGTACAAATGGCACGAGTGGAAGTACTGAAAGCCAGGGAACAAGTAGACGGCTTCGTAAAGCACTGAAGAGGGACGCGAAAGAAATCGTGCTCAACGTGTTCAATTATCTTAACAGAACTATGTCGCAGGGAGATGCACTCACGCGTTGTGAAAGTATGACAGGCGCTCCAGAGTGGACCATTCGCAGGGTGGTGCATGAAAAGAAGAAAACTGGAGCTACTACTGATCCAAAGTTTAATTTGAAGGGACTAAAGGCCTGTTAAATTGGATGACGATAGCAAAATGGCGTTAAGGCGAACCGTACAATCATTCTTTAGGAATGAGATACCAACCCTCAAGGCTGTACCTGCAGCGATCAAGGAAAATGAAATTATACCCCAAATGAGCGTCGAGGTAATGAGGAAATCCCTGCACGAAATTAATTTTCGTTACGAAGCGCGTAATCGGAAGTCAGTATTGATAGAGAGACCTGAAATAGTCGCCTGGCGTCGAAAATACCTACGCGAAATGATTGAATATAGGCGACAAAGCAGAAAAATCTATTATTTGGACGAGACATGGGTAAATGCAGGTCACACAGTTAAAAAAACCTGGATAGACAAAAACGTAGTGAGTAACCGACAAGCAAGCATTGAAGGTTTGTCAACAGGTCTTCGTGGACCGTCAGGGAAAGGTAGCGATAGTGGCTTTTTAGAAGAGTGTGACTTGATTTTCGTCTCTAAGAAAGGAGGTGATTACCATGACGAAATGAATGCCAGCTGCTTCGAGAGCTGGTTTCAAGGGGTGCTTCAGCGAGTTGAGCCCAACTCTGTGATCGTCATGGATAATGCTTCCTACCATAGTCGTCGAGCCGAACGTGTACCGACTATGGGATCTCGAAAAAGTGACATGCAGCAATGGTTGCACGAAAAGGGAATCCCGTTTGACGACTCATGTGTGAAAGCGGAATTGTATGAAAAAATTAAACAGCACAAACCTGCGAACATTAGTTACGTGACTGATGAGATGGCACGTCAATGTGGTGTCACTGTGCTGCGGTTACCGCCCTACCACTGTGAACTGAACCCAATAGAGCTCATCTGGGCTCAAGTGAAGGGTTATATTGCGCGCCATAACACAACCTTCAAATTACCAGACGTTAAGGTTTTACTTGAGACTTCCATACAGCTAGTAACGCCCGAAGCTTGGTAGAATGCTATCATAGAGCCAGTTATAGTCAATTTCAACGAGGAAAGCGATAGCGACAGTTTATTACTGTCAGATGTAAGTGGAAGCGACGATGAATAAAGGTATTTCCCAAATTTTTGACTTACAATATGTTTCAAACCACTCTTTATTAAGCATGTGACAGATCTTGTTAAACATTCATACCCCGCCTATGAACAGCCGACTACTGGTAGTTAAGTGATGTTCACGTGAACATCGATGAGTCATTACAGTTTTAGATAGTTATAGTATAGTAAACATTACGATTTATACGTAGTAGAGTGACTGATAAACGTTTATAAGTAACATCCAATGATTACTTTGTTTCAGACATTGGTTGAACACAGAGCAAATGTTAACGCGAGAGACGCAGAAAACAAAACTCCTTTGCATATAGCTATTGAAAATAGGCAAGACGATATAATTTCGCTATTGTTAAGTGTACCTGAAATCGACTTGAGTCTGAGGGACAAATCCGGACTGAGCCCATTCGCAACAGCACTGACCTTTAAGAATAATAAGGCTGCCGAGGCGATCCTTGTTAAACTTCCGACTGCTGCTGATCAGGTAAAAACAATCATTTTTAATTTTAGAGCGCGATTAAAAAAATAACACACATTTTATTGAAAATTTCTGCGCCATTGATGAGGCTATTTGAAGACACCACTTGAATGCCCTTCAAATAAGAATGACTTGAGATTCTTCTCTGAAAGAAATGAACTGACAATTTTTGTAAAATTATTTTATTGAATAAAATTGCTGTAGGTATTTCATGAGTCGCAGAAACTATTATTTTCCCTTCTGTAGAGGTCAACATATCCCTGCTTTTACGCTGTTGTTGTAGTTTTTGAATGTATCGCTTGTATGGTTAGTACTCCAAGTACAACATTTTAAGCTGGTTTTTCATAAATATCGTAATAAACTTTCAGCCGATTTTGTTTCAATTTAGCAGTGGTATTAAGGGCAGTTAGATTGAAATTATCAAGTCCAGTGGGGAACCGAAAAACACCCTAACCGATATAATAATAATAATAATAATAATAATAATAATAATAATAATAATAATAATGCCTTTATTAACTGCAGTGAGGCGAAGTTTAGCCACAACAGGAAAAAAGAATACTTAAACACATAAACAAAATAATAACATACCAAAAAAAAAATACAATGCATAAGAATTACAACATTGATTGCACGAGACAAATGCAGATAGTATTGCGAGAGTCATAAATTTGAAACAAAAATAGTAGAAAATAGTCAAACAAAAAAAATAAAAAAAAATCACATGAGCACAAGAAAAACTGAACTAAATGGACTCCAGCAACTGACTTTTCATTAATTTCTTAAAAGAAACAACCTGTTTGGATCGATAGCCACTGTTGACTGCATTGTAATGCTTGACAGCATTATAGGTGTAACTTCTTTCAAAGACCGAGGTATTGTGAGGAGGCATGTTAAAATTAGCATTAAATCTAAGAGCTCTGGTAACAGAACTACGTCGGTGAACTGATTTGCTAGCGAGGTAAGCTGGTCTGTTAGATAGTAGAACTTTATGCGTGAAGACGGACGGAAGATATAAAAATAACTTATCAATTCGCAACCAGTTGAGTTCTTTGATTTTATCTGGGACGCGACTAAACTTGCGCAAGCCAAAAATAAACCTACAACAGCTGTTCTGAATTTTCTGGAGTTTCCTTTTGTGGACGTAGTCTAAACATGGGTAATACAGAACAAGATAGTAAGAAATGACAGACAACACAAGCCTTTCAGCGAGCTTTTTTCGGGTTTTAAAATTCAAGATGTATCGATTAGAATAGAGGAGTTTCAAACGTAAATACGTTACTCTAGATAAGAAAGAGACATGCCGATCCAATCTCATATTTAAGTCAAGGGTAACACCGAGATTCTTGGCGTAATCCACAAAAGGGATGAGTGTCTCATCCAAAAAAACACAAATCCTCTGCTTCATTTCACGGTAGGAGTTCTTCGAACAGTACAACATTGCAGTAGTTTTATTAGGATTGATCTTCAAGCAGTGTTTGTTACAGTAATCACCGATGTTAAATTAACTTTAAAAGAAACTTCATCAACCTTTGATGGATCGAAACCAAACACTAACTGAGTATCATCTGCATAAGTTTGCATACTACAGTGGACTAAACAGTCTTGTAGATCGATCGTATAAATCAGATATAGTAAGGGACCTAATACTGACCCCTGAGGAACTCCTGAAGGAACTGGCTCAGAGGAGGAAATTCCCTGATCAGTTTTTACTGTTTGTTGACGATTTAGTAAGTATGACTCAAAGAACCTTAGAACTATATCTGAGATTCCATAATGAGATAACTTACTCAGTAGTATCTGGTGATTGACCATATCAAAGGCTTTCGAGAAATCTAACAGTACCAAGTCGGTGTTGTTGTGATTATCTAAATTGTGAATGATGGAATCAGTAAGATGTAATAAAGACGAAGTAGTGCTGTAACCAGCTCTGAAACCTGACTGATGTAGAGGAAATAAGTGATTTTGTTCGAAAAACTCCACTAGTTGTGAGTAGACATCTCTTTCGAGTATTTTTGATAGAAAGCATAACAAGGTAATTGGCCTGAGATCCGAATATTGTTCTGGATGATTAGTTTTAGCTATTGGAATAATAATACCATTTTTCCAACTGGCAGGAAAGTAACCTGTTTCGAGACAGACATTAATAATGTGAGTTATATGGTCTGTGGTATCAGGCAAACATAAGCAAACCATATTTAAAGTTAGACCATCAGAGCCACATGCCGTAGACTTAATGTGAAAGATTATATTGACGATGTCTTGCTGAATCTTTGAAAAAAAAATGTGCGTCACTGACTTCAAGATATTTAGAAAGAACCGATTTTAAAAAAAAAAGCTTGAAAGGAAGTATTTCCGGACCTATCTTTATATAAAATTTTCATCTTAAAATTACTTGAAGAATCACCTCCTGATGTTTGGCCACGTATTTAAATAACACCCTGATTTTGAAATTATAACTCCAACACCCTGTAATTCGATAAGTATTGTATGGGCCATCTTTATAATTTTTCGTGTCGTGTTTGAAATTTTGTCTGTCCCAGAAACAGGAATTATTTTTTCACCCTGTATTATGCATAACGTATCTTTGAAGTAGATGTAAATATTCCGACTTTAGTTGCCAGCATCTATGATATTTATTGTGTAAAAGTAATGTTATACAGGGTGCGGCAGAGAGGATGGACGGTTTTAAAAAAATCATAAAATAATTAATTTTTACTCGAAAACAAATTTATTGATGGAATCAGGTTCACAAGGAAATAGCATTTGAGACAGTCAAGTGTGGAAAATCACATCAGGCATGTGGTGGCCGAAATCGTTGATGCAGTGCTGGAGGCGTTCTCGGAAGTTCGCGTAGACTCTCTCCAACATCGCTCTCTCAACTTGGGCGACTTCCACGCGAATTTCGCCCTTCAATTCGTCCAGAGTTCGGGGCTTGTTCGCGTATACTCTAGCCTTGAGGTGTCCCCATAAGAAAAAATCGCATATGGATGAATCTGGGGACCGAGGAGGCCAATGAACATCGCCAAACCTGGAAATAAGGCGACCAGGGAAGAGAGCGCGAATAACGTCCATGGATGCTCGGGCTGTGTGGGCGGTCGCCCCATCCTGCTCGAACCACACACGTCGGATTGGAACACGTCGCCGTCGTAATTCAGGGAGAAAGAAGTTGGTGATCATGTCGACGTAGCGCCCTGAGTTCACGGTAACATCACGACCATTACCGTCTTCGAAGAAGTAAGAGCCAATGATGCAAGTTTGCGATACAGCGCACTTTTGGGCTGTGCAACGGTCTTTCGTGTAACTGTTGCGGATTTTCATTAGCCCAATAACGACAATTCTGCTGGTTAACCATGCTGTTTAGGTGAAAGTGGGCTTCGTCACTCATGAGCAAAATGAGGTTCTCATTTTGATCGATCAGTGCTTCCATCTCACGTGCGAAGTTCATTCGTTGTGCATAATCTCCAGGCTGTAACTGTTGCACAATGGCCAATTTGTAGGGGTGAAAGCGGAGATCCATATGCAAAATTCGCCTGTGGAACGCGTTCAACATTTTCAGGAGTTCGAACTGTTCGCGGCGCTCCTCTTGGTCTTCTGTTGATCAGTTCACCACGCCTGCGAAGTGATTCAATCCAACGAAGGATGGTGTTTCGAGAGGGAACAGCTCTATTCCGATGAATGTTGAAGTGGCGACGAAACTCACGCTGTACGACGATGACTGACTCATTATTTCGGACGAAACAATCATAGGCGAAAACTCGGTGCTCCACCGCCCAAGGCCCCATAACGACAACTGGTAAAATAATGCTAGGATCTCACGAGTCAAACGGCACCCTCCCCACCTCTCTCGTAGACGGAGGCGGAGAGTACTACTCATCCCAAAAACGTCCGTCCTCTCTGCCGCACCCTGGAGAAGTGCAACAGATGTTTTCAGGCATAGTATGATATTGCCATTTATGTGTTAGGTTGATTTTCAATTTAATATACATTCTACGAGCAGTAAAGTTATCTTCCATCATCTATGACTCATTTATTGGCCAGAAGAACATGAAGACGGATCAGACATTGAACTATATAATAAGTTTCAAACGTTGTAGTAATGTCAGTGCCAGAGGAGCTGTATTTGGAATCGCAGGCTCTCTGCATGATTTTGACAATAAACTTCACTAACACGTGTACTATTTACAGTTTGACGCTAAAGGGCAGAACTTCCTCCACATCGCGATCAAAAAAGGCGACACGGAAAGTGCCCTTTTCCTGTTGACCGTCCAAGTAGACGTTAATTCTAGAGTTCAGGATGCTATGTTGACTCCGCCCTTACACTTAGCAGCCAAACACGGTGACGAAACTTTGGTGAGAAGTCTACTACTTGCTGGCGCGAGGCTAGATGACAGAGATGCTCAGAAGTAAGTAATGCATCAGTGTCGATACAGCGTTTCAAAAATAAAGCCTTGAAGGAACTCATTGATCCCTTGGCGTTGCGAAAGGTTCTCGAGTTTCTGTATGTCGAGACATGCAGATCTGATGTTAATTTTGGCCTGGAAAATATCTTCTTTGACTACAGAACTTAGTACTCTCGATTTACCTTTTATAACCAGAATTTATATAAAAAATGTCCTCAATTCGAAATCAGAAGGGTTTGCGTGGCAGGCAGCATTATGGAGGAGAGCCCTGAGGAGCAAATCCCGTTGGTGTAGCGGTAGAAGGGTACCGAGACTGTCCGTTAGAGAAGAGTCGGACATCCCCACTCTGGACATCATCGAGCATCAATAATGTAGTCGGGACGGCAGCACCCCAAACGTGTGAGCAATACTCGAGGCTAGGTCTTATCTGGGCCTTGTATGGGGTTGTCCAAAACGGACGCAGGAAAGTAAACGCATATTAAAACAAGAAAGATTGATATTCAAATCAAGTTGGGTACTTTATTTTGAAGGTTCATTTATACCATTTATGTATGAAAAATAATATCGCTCCAATGTTCACCACGACTGGATTTACAGACCTCCACGCGATGGTCGAAATGTTCAATTACATTTTGCAACATGGTCGGTTCTATGGCATTTATCTCGGCAATGATGTTGTTTTTGAGTTCTTGGAGGGTGGCTGGTTTGTTGACGTACACTTTGCTTTTCAAATATCCCCATAAAAAGAAGTCCAAGGGAGTCAAATCGCACGATCTTGGTGGCCATGGCACATTTCCTCTGCGCGAAATCACGCGATCACCGAAGAAGGACTGCAATCGATGGATATTGACGTTGGTTGTGTGGCATGTTGCACCGTCTTGTTGGAAATAAACATCGTCCATATCCATTCCTTCAAGTTGCGACAAAAAATAGTCCTCTATCATCACGTGATATCGCTCAGAATTGACGGTAACAGCGTCCCTGGCCGCATTTTCGAAAAAGTAAGGTCCGATGATGCCTTTTGACCACAATGCACACCACACAGTCACTTTTTGAGGATGCATCGGCTGCTCTTGATACTCACGGGGATTTTCGTTCGCCCAGATGCGGCAGTTTTGCTTGTTTACCGTCCCATTCAAAGTGAAATGCGCTTCGGCGCTGAACATGATTTTTGATGAAAAATTGGCATCAATTTGGCGGTGTTCAAGGAGCCAATCTGAGAACGTTCGGCGCGAAAAATGGTCGGCCCGACGCAGCTCTTGCGTCAATTGGATTTTGTAGGCGTGTACATTCAAATCCTTGTGGAGAATGCGGAGCAAACTGGTTCTCGAAATGCCCAATTCTTGGGATCGACGCGTTGTTGATTGTTTCGGATCGTCTCTCACACTCTCCTTCACAACAGCATTTTCCGGTGTGCGAACGCTCCTTGGCCGGCCAGAGCCTGGCAGATTTGCCACAGAACCTGTTGCTTCGAATTTACGCACCAGACGTCCGATGGTTGTTTCGTTTGGGCGGTTGTTGCGACCGAAATGTTCACGAAGCGCGCGAAACGTGTTTTTTATTTTTGCACCATTTTTGTAGTGCTCTTGAATAACTTTAATGCGGTCTTCAATCGAATACGACTCCATAGCGATCACTGGTAAACATTCAACTAACAAAATGACATGTCGGTGACAGAAAACAAAGATGGCGTGTATGTCAAATTGACGTTTACTTTCCTGCGTCCCTATTGGACAACCCTTTATAAAATAATTAAAGAATGATACAGAAAAATTATGAAAAGATTTTCCATAGTAGAAGATTTTGTCCAAGCCTCAGTAGAACCTCTTGTATCATTTCAACTATCTTATTATAAATCTTAGGAACAATATCCGAAGGATTTTTATTTTTAATCTTAAAGCTTGGATTCAATTATGACCGCCTCGGATGTTTTGATTTTCAGGAGAACCGCTCTTCACGTTGCTGCTGAAGCTGGCAACGTTCCAGCTGTAACAGCTCTCTTAGAGAACCATGCAGATTGTGATGCTGTGGATGTGAATCAGGATAATGCGTTGCATATTGCCGTAAGAGAAGGAAGCATCAGTGTTGTTCGTGCGTTATTAACGCAGTCCACAATAGATGCGGAAGCTGTGAATTTAAAGGTGTGTCGTAAGTCTCCACGTGGTTTGCGACAGTTTAGAATCATCTCGGCTGTAGGTCACGTCACTTTCAGAGGTTATATTGAAAGGAAGCTTTCGACTCAGCAAATCATAAATTATTATTCGGAGCATTGGAGAGAATTGGTTTTAGAGGAAACGCATGCTCTTTGATCGAAAATTTCCTATCAAACCGTCTACAATCTGTCCAGATATCCAGATCATTTAGCAAGGAAATCTATATCAAGTGTGCTGTCCCACAAGGAACAGTCTTAGATCCACTGTTACTTAATATACAGGGTGTTCCAGTTTATTGTTGCATAACTTTAAGATTCGATAGAACTTTTAAAATTAATGCATAAAGTATATATAAACATGGGTCGAAAAATGCGTGGCTTCCGAAATACAGGGTGTTTAAATTTACTTTCTAAAATAGTTTTTTTTTAAATATTTCGAACAATATTTGATGTATAACAGTGAAAATTGGTAAACAAGGGTTATTTGGTACGACAAAACGAACCATGGGCATAGTTTTACTGTAGCCGCTAGAGGGCGCTCGCTACATAAACACAACATAAAAAAGCTCTCTTGTGAATTTTCGTTATAGTTAGCCGTTTTTGAGATATTTTTATTATTTAAAAAGTCAGAATCTCGATAATTTTTAGAAGTAGGCTGTGCCTGCAAATATTTTTGAAATTGAAAGCAGAATAAGGTTAAACGTCAATTAGTTGACAGTTAGTTTTGTTGTCTATTGAAACCTGAAACGTTTTTTTGCAATTGTGAATGCACGAAATTTAGTTTCTTTTACCTGTTTTTTTTAAGTTTTATAAAAATGCCATTCTTATTCTCCAATCAAGAGTTAGCGGATATTCATTTTGTGTATGGCTTTGTAAATGGAAACGCAGCAGAAGCAGCCAGAGAATACGCACGAAGATTTCCAAACAGACGACATCCAACTCGCTCAGTATTTGTAAGAGTGCATCGCCAAATAATTGAAAATGGTTTTGGAAATCTCCAGAGGGATCAAAACATAAATGTTCATCAGCGCAGATTTACCCGTATGATTCTGCGTGAGTTTGATAGAGATCCGACCACAAGTGTTAGGAGAGTTTCTGGTGCCTTGGGAATTTCATCAAGCCATGTTCACCGTGTTCTTAGAAATGACCGTAGACGTCCTTACCATTTGCAACCTGTGTAAGGACTACAGCCAGGGGACGGAGAACGAAGAATCACATTTTGTCAGTGGATTCTTGATAGAACTGATAATAATAGGGAGTTTTTAAGTAACGTTTTATGGACCGATGAGTCATGCTTCACTAGACGTGGAGTGGTAAATTTTCAAAATCAACATATTTGGTCGCATGAAAATCCGCATGCAGTTCGGAAAAGAAATGTTCAGCATGAATTTAGTGTGAACGTGTGGATTGGTATCTACCGTAATGGACCCTACCTTTTGCCTGCAAGGTTAAATGCTGCGACCTTCTTAGAATTTTTAAAGGCTGAACATGCAAATATGTGGGATGATGTTATGTTAGATTTAAGAAGATTGGCCTGGTTCTAGCTTGATGGTTGTCCACCTCATTATTCGAGAATAGTTAGAAACTGGCTGGACGAAAATTATCCAGAAAGATGGATCGGCCGTGGAGGACCAGTCGCCTGGCCTCCACGATCCCCTGACCTAAATCCATTAGATTTCTTTGTGTGGGGATTTCTAAAAGAAAAAGTGTACCAGACTCCCGTAACCACAAGAGATACGCTAAAAGACAGAATCAGGAATGCATGTGATGAAATAAGGCCTTATTTGAATAATGCTATACCACGTTCGATCATTCGTAGATGTGAATTGTGTATTGAACAATTGGGTTTACATTTCGAGCAACTACTTTAGATTTTGTATGTTTGTCCTAACTATCCAATAGCATTTTAGTTGTAAATAATTAATTTAATTTGTTAAAAATAATATTGGAAAATTAAACAAATTAATATTCTGTTTTTTTGTGTTTATATGGAGTTAGGAGTTATTGCTGTGTTTAAAAACACAATCTAAACGATCATCTTAATTACTTGTAATGCCCAAATCGAAAATGTAAAAAAAAATATTTTCCCATAAATAATTAAAAATGCATCGAACCCTAAAAATCGAAGTATCTCAAAAACGGCTAACTATAACGAAAACTCACAGGAGAGCTTTTTTATGTTGAAAAGAGCGAAGAATCAGTTTTTTTATTCAAAAAGCAAAAAATTGCACTAAGAAAAATTTTTCGGTCATTTTAATACACTACAGGTACAGTAGAGAGCGCCCTCTAGCGGCTACAGTAAAACTATGCCCATGGTTCGTTTTGTCGTACCAAATACCCTTGTATACCAATTTTCACTGTATACATCAAATATTGTTCGAAATATTTAAAAAACACTATTTAAGAAAGTAAATTTAAACACCCTGTATTTCGGAAGCCACGCCTTTTTCGACCCATGTTTATATAGACTTTATGCATTCATTTTAAAAGTTCTATCGAATCTTAAAGTTATGCAACAATAAACTGAAACACCCTGTATATTTAAGCGATATTTTCCCCATTAATTGTGTACATACAAAGGGTACTATGAAAGTTTTGCAATACAGCTTTATTTATGGACTTCGTTCAAAGTAATTTCCACCACATTCGATACACTTCTCCATCCGCTAAACCAGTCCTTGGACCAGCTCTGCCAAGTTTCACCCGGGAGTGCGGCACACTCGTTGATCCAAGCGCTCAAAAGGTCCTCATCACTAGAAAACCGTTTTCATTTTAGCTTCATTTTCACATGCGGAAACAGTGCACAGTCACAGGGAGTAAGATCTGGGCTGCAAGGAGGGTGATCAATAAGTTTTAGTCCAGTAGTAGTTAAATACTCGGTGTAGGCTTTGACACGGTGAGCTGGAGCGTTGTCATGGTGGAGGTTCCAAGTTTCCATTTTTGCCTTTGGCAGCAGGTTTTTCATAGACTCTATGAGTTTAGACAGGCACTGTTCCTTGTACCACTTAGCTTCTGTGTATCCAAAATGACACGCTCCACAATCCCGCTCGATTTCAAAAATACAGCTATCATTCTTTTCTTAACAGATCGGGATTTTCTGACAGTTATTTTTTTTATTTCACTTTGTGTATTACATTTTGGAGTTTTTACTAAAAAAAAAAATTTAAAAATCTACGTAATTAATTCCGTTGGGCTAAAACCTGTTTGAGCGACCTGGGGTGATAGAAAAGGCTCTGTCGCCATTTCAATTTGGCAAACGATTCAAGATAAGCAAACGCTACACTTTTTCAGAATATTTTGACATATCCGACAAAAGAATTAATTTCGGAATATGTTTCGTTCCAGGGAAGAAATCCGTTGCACGAGCTTTGTAAATACGGGAAAGAAAATGCAGCCGCAATCTGTGAACTTTTCCTGGAGTGCATGCCAGACTATCCAATAAATAAATTAGATGTAAACGTAAGTCAATTTTATAATTATATTTAAGAGTGCAAAGTGAGCAAATAAACGTTTTCAGGGCAATTCCGCATTGCTGTTAGCCTATATGAATGGAAACGGCAACTTGTGTAGAGTTCTCGTGAAAGCGAATGCCTGTTTAGCATCAGAAAATAATGACAAGATAACGATATTCAATTATCAGGTAAGTTGAAGTTGAACATTATTTGTCTAATATCATATTCATAAATTTTTTATAAATGGTCGATGTTTGTTTTATGGAATTCTAATTTAACAATATACCAAAATAGTTTTTTTATATCTAAAAGTTTTGATTCTACAAACAGCGATTTGGAAAGATATATTAAAGGTTTGTTATAACCATCGACTTTGTATATGTCGTCAACAACCAGAAATGTAAACAAAGGGGTCTATCATCGTTTTAAAGTCGATGTTTATAACTCTGTAGGCTATGTGGCATTCAGCTTATATTTGATATAAAATTTTCAATTGAGTTTCATTGAAAATTTGTTTGTAATATCTGAATGTATAAAACACAATTCTAAGTTTCTCTTTATATATTGGATATGTTGATCCCAACGAAGATGACATTCCAAAACAACTCCGAGATATTTATGATTTAGTTTACTTGATATACAGGGTGTTTCACAACCATGGGGTCATACTTGTAGGGGTTATTCAGTGTAACAGTAGAAAACATTTGAGTATAGGGACCCACATCCGGCGCTTGTGAGTTATCTTTAAAAACGATAACAGAGATTGTTTTTGTAGCTGCATTCCATATCGCCTTAGTCGTGCTATCGTATTTGTGAAGTTTGTAAGAATTTAACAAAAATTAATTGTTGCTAATGGAAAACTTTACCGATCAAGAATTAGCGGATATGCATTTGGATACGGAGTAACAAGCTGAAATGCACGAGCAGCAGCGCGGTTGTATCAAGAACGTTATCCCGAACGACAGTATCCGGGATACAAAAAGTTTATTGCTATTCATCGGCGGCTCTCCGAGACAGGCATCTTCAAAACCAACATGCATGATACTGGCGTTGCTAGAACCGTAAGAACGGTCGAATTTGAAGAAATCATTCAGCGAGTTGCCGACGAACCATCAAGTAGCACCCGTCACATTGCTGAGGATATAGGGTTGTCCAATAGGGACGCAGGAAAGTAAACGTCAATTTGACATAGACGCCATCTTTGTTTTCTGTCACCGACATGTCATTTTGTTAGTTGAATGTTTACCATTGATCGCTATGGAGTCGTATTCGATTGAAGACCGCATTAAAGTTATTCAAGAGCACTACAAAAATGGTGCAAAAATAAAAAACACGTTTCGCGCGCTTCGTGAACATTTCGGTCGCAACAACCGTCCAAACGAAACAACCATCGGTCGTCTGGTGCGTAACTTCGAGGCAACAGGTTCTGTGGCAAATCTGCCAGGCTCTGGCCGGCCAAGGAGCAGCCGATGCATCCTCAAAAAGTGACTGTGTGGTGTGCATTGTGGTCAAAAGGCATCATCGGACCTTACTTTTTCGAAAATGCGGCCGGGGACGCCGTTACCGTCAATTCTGAGCGATATCACGTGATGATAGAGAACTATTTTTTGCCGCAACTTGAAGGAATGGATATGGACGATGTTTATTTCCAACAAGACGGTGCAACATGCCACACAACCAACGTCAATAACCATCGATTGCAGTCCTTCTTCGGTGATCGCGTGATTTCGCGCAGAGGAAATGTGCCATGGCCACCAAGATCGTGCGATTTGACTCCCTTGGACTTCTTTTTATGGGGATATTTGAAAAGCAAAGTCTACATCAACAAACCAGCCACCCTCCAAGAACTCAAAACAACATCATTGCCGAGATAAATGCCATAGAACCGACCATGTTGCAAAATGTGAAACACCTTGTATATTCATTTTGGAGATTTGTTTTCTGATTAAAAGTTCTGAATTGTTGTGTTTTGCTTCAAAAGAACAATCCTCGCTATAATTTCCAGGAACACAAAAATAGAGGATGAGATAGATATGGTTATTGCCCTGACACTGTATTTAAAAAGGGTAGAGCGCGAAATTACAGCAGACGCTCGATAATGTAAACTAATTTAATCCAAGTGTGGTTCACATTATCGAAATGTTTACATTAGCGAACGTGTTTTATATAATATTTGATTTATTAAAAGAAACGTTTAATACATACTATTTATAACAAAATAAACAAATATTCTAGCAGCGATAAGTATTTTTTTAATTAGAAGAAAAATAATTAACAATTTTTGTCTGCGTAAATTTGCGCTTAGCATTGTCTTCCAATGCCTGCGCCCGTAATTTACGAAGAACTAAAATATCCGTGTATGAAACTTCTTTTCTTTCAGCCCAATCTAAAGCTTGGTTAAAAACTTGTATAGCTTGCGCGTCAGTCACTACACTTCTGACTTCAATGGGATCGTTCTCATCATCCTCACTGTCCATATCCTCCTCCTTATCAGCATCATTCGTCTGCTTATCTTTGTTCCATAAATTAATATCAGCAGGAGTACAAACAATGTTGGGATTCACTGTTTTCAATAAATCAACAACATCCAATGACACACTAATAACATTATCATTATTGGATCGCAAACGTTCTCTAATTACGCTTAAGGGGACATCGTCTTCTTCATCATCTTCATTATTGGTACAAAAGAGATTGTTCCAACATTTTTGAATATTTTGCTGGTTAAGTTAATTCCAGGCCATATGTAAATTCTAAAACAGCTTCTCGTAATGTTACTTTTTTAAAGCCTCAGATAAGTTTTCAGGATTCTTTGATAAGACAGACGAAAGTAGAAACTTCCTATAGCATAGTTTAGTGAGTCTTATTATATTCTGGTCCATCAGTTGAATTAACGGTGTTACGTTGGGCGGCATGTACATGACGAAAATTGACCCATCCCTGCTCGTCAGTTGTTGCTCGGGAGGATGACTTGGTGCATTATCCAATAGTAACAACGCTTTTATTGGAAGCTTCTGTTGTTTTATGAAACATTTTACCTACAAATTGAAAACACATCTTCAAATTATGAATAGAGCATTTGTGATAATTGATTGTCATACCTGAGGGACAAAGCACCTGTGGAACCATTTCAGGAATATACTGCTAGTCATCCAAGCGGTTTTTGAACAGTCATAATCAACAGGGATATTAACATTTTTAAATGAGCACGGATTTTTTGCTTTCCCAATTACCAGTGGCTTTATTTTGTGTGAACCATTAGCATTAGTGCAGGCTAGAAACGTTATTCGTTGTTTCTCCGGCTTTCTTCCCGGGGCAGATTTTTCAAATGATGCAGCATAGGTTTTCTCTGGTAACATTTTCCAATAAAGACCACTTTCATCTGCATTGTAAATTTGTTCCATTCTTAAATCTAGCTCGGTAATTGTTTTCATCAATTTTTCTTTGAATGGTTGCACTAGTTGTGGTTGTGCTGATAATTTTTCACCAGATATAAACAGCAGTCGAATTCCATATCTTGTTTTGAATCGTTGTAGCCAGCCATCACTAGCTACGAAATTTTCAGTTTCTTTCAGTTTTTCATTTAACAGTCTCGCTCTCTGTTTAAGTACTTCGCCACTAACTGGGACATGATTTTCCCGTTGTTTTAAAAACCACTTATACAGGGAATTTTCCATTTTAGGTGCCTTCGCATTTTTTAAAGTTTTTCTTTTTCCCGGACCTCCAAATGTATTGCACGTTCTTTGTAAAATTTGAGTTTTCATACGCTTAATTTTACAGATTGTTGCTTTCGATACTCCACATTTTTTTTTGCTAACTGTGTCACTCCCGCACCTAGTGCAACTTCGTCTATGATTTTCACTTTCTCACTCAACTTTAAACACTTTCTTTTATAGGATGTGGATGCCATAGTCGTAAAATATATTAACGCGTGCAATGTATTCACTTAAGTTCAAAAATGAAATACATACGTACGTATAAACGTATCCTAAACGATCATACGACTGACCGAGTTCGTCGTATTTTATCGCAGAGGTGAATCCCCTACACTCTATCTACATCATAAATCGGGGACTCCCCCCGACGCCCGACATAAATCATCGAGGCTTCAGCATTTTACCGTCGCGCTGTTTCCGTGTGCCGAGAGTTGTTTACTTTATCGAGCGTACACATTGTTTACGTTATCGCGCGTTCCGTTTGATCCTAGAGAACGAAGTTTGTGTTTACATTAGCGCAAGTTTTCATTATCCCGTGTTTACGTTATCGAGCGTCTGCTGTATTATGCAGCGTGTTCTTAAATTAAGTGAAAAGTTTCCATTTTCTTTGCCACTGTAGATAAACGGAATCAATGACGATTTAAACAAATGTGCACCTAACTCAGAAAGACAATAGATTTCTGCTCCATTTGGTGGAAAACTTTTTGAATTCGTACGGAAATTGATAAATTTATGAAAGGAAGAAGGAAAATTGGTGGTGCAACGTCCATTTGCCTCTAAACCTTCAACCAGTGTTTATATTGACGTGAATAAAAAACCAGATTGATAATGGAAGGCATTGTGTTCTGATTGCCAACTGGATTCACAAAACAAAGTGATTCAGTTGGAATAATGAAAACATCATTTTGACTTACCCTGTCCAAGTCAAACCGTGGCTACAATCAAAACCTTACATCTAATGCCACTAAAATAGAGGTAAAGAAAAAGTTATGACGTTCCAAATTCAACCAAATTTTGCTTGTTGCGTTTATTTTGAACCGGATCGTATTCGGCCTACTGTGTAAAACCAAATTATATTCGCCAGGTACCAAGCAAACAGCTTCTGAACCGCCTTCTGGACCAGCTGAGCCAACCGGCGCCCTGGACCCACACCGATGGATGTCAGGAGTGCGGCAAGGGTTTTTCGATCACAGTGCGCACTCACCATTGCAGGCACTGCGGCCGCGCTTTGTGTTCGCGTTGCTCTCAAATGGAAGTGCCCATCGTAAAGTTCGGCGAACATAAGCCTGTCAGGGTGTGCAAAGTGTGTTTTGATGCGCTCAAAGTTGGTGGTAGTTAAGGATGGACACAGAAGTAGATAGGGAGAGTTTTTAATGCGTTATTTTTTCTGAGGTCTTGAATAGATCAGCGGCGCGTAATTGGGAACCTTGAACGCCAATATGCCATTTTTAGGAAATAAAAAACATGACATTCATATTACACAGGATGTTCCAGAAGTCGACGTTAAGCCGGAAACGAAGGCCAAGTCATAATAGATATCAGAAAAATATAAAAAAAATCATTTTAAAGTGCACGACTCAGGTTTTTTTATATTTTTCTGATAACTATTATGACTTGGCCTGTCCCCCGTTCCCGGCTTGACAGGGTGAGTATTTTGACCTATCCAAAATCTAATGCGCTTAGAGGGGACAAGGTATTTTGGCATAGGACACTAGACGATCGGACTCAAGAACAACATAAGAACAGCATAGCCTTAAAAAGGACTGAAAGTAGACATCCCAAATGTAACTAAGCAAAATAAAAATAAATTGGTGTCAAGTAAATGTCCTAATGGAAAAAAAAACTCGATACTGAATTATCTTTTGTAGAAGTCTCGAGCCTTGGCGGCCTTTTATGTCAATATACTCATCTTGATCGCCTCTCTATTTATGAATATGAAATCATTATCTCACTATAATGATGACGAATCAGGTTAAAGGACAAGGACATGTTGCTATTTTAAATGAATGCTAGAAAAGATCCATATGCGTGGCAGATATATTATTAGTGGATTAAAAAAATGGTGAGCTGTGTTTCGTCGTCTTTTGTTATTGATTTTATTAGCTATTTAATGATTTTGAATGGCTACTTCATCATTTATTCTAAATTATAATTATGCGCCTAATGCACTGATATAAACAATATGCTTTCTATTTAGTAGAAATATGCAATACATGTTTATATTTTTTCCATAAAGGTATCCATATAAAAGTGGTTACTCAATGAATATTTTCTTTTAGCATAGTAGCTTAATATACAGTGTTTTTTACAAAGGTTCTCCCAAACTTCAGGATAGTAAAATTGAAACATTTTAACGTAAAAGTACTTGTTGAAAATTTCAAGTACACCATATTGTAACATTTTCTTAAATAAAATGGGGGTAGTGTGATACCTCATTTTGAAGCTCCTTTATAACCCTGATATATAAAATCAGTTCTTTCAAAAATGGCTGACAAACAGGCTGTCAAAGTTGAGCGTTTTTGCACTTTGAATAGTTTATAACATTTATTTGTCCAAACAGTTTTTACAGTCTTCTTCGTTTGGTTGTCCGAATGTGCGACAAATTAGGGAAATATCCGTTTAAAAAAAGATTTTATTACATATTCAGCTGGATCCTTCTAAGAAATGAAGAATGATGTAACCTACTGAGGCGCTTTGATGATTGTTGACTTATAAGCAACTCAATCTTCTCATGAGCCACTTTAAATTGAGGTACCATGCGAACCCCGATACTGAAAAAATGTTCCAAAATGGTGCCCACCGGCCATTCTGAAATATTCAACTGCTAAAATATGGATTCTCTGCGTCAATTTCATCACCCCGAATGTTAGTTTGCTAAATTGAGTAGGGGGGGGGGGGCTTTTTGAAATGCACTGTATAAGATGAGAGATGAGGAATTGAACATTTATTTTTTTATTGATTTAAATACTTTATAAGCCAATCAATCAGACACTTGTATAGAGTTCAGTTAATAGGTGATTTTGCAATACAAAAGTGAGGTAGAAAAATCTGTGGTTAGTCTGATTTCTGCGACAATCTCGCACGAGGATGATTTTTGGTAATGCTGACGATAATGTAATATAAAATATAAGCATAAAAAGATAACTAGGCAACGAAGTACATATTGATAAATTGGATTCATTTTCTATTTCACTTTTTTGATAAAATATAGTTTACTTGATACCAGCTGACTAGATCATAATTCTCATATAGAGGTATTTAATGCATTTTATATTTATTGTTAGTTTGAATATTCAGTAATTCCATTTTAAATAAGAAAACACAGATTTTATGATAGCACTAATTCGATATTGTATTGAATGATTATTATTGTTATTTACAGATTTATTTATTTACATGTTTATAAAATATATATATATGTACAAGCATTCCCTATTTTCCCTCTTTTTAGTATGAACCCCAAAAATATTCCTTAAAATCGAATTTGAGTGGCAAAAAATACAAGGTCATAATAATTATATCCAATGCACATCACACAGTTTAACGCCTTGTATTTTTCAGTTAATTAGTAATCGTAAATTTTGTTGTTATTTCGACCTTTTTATAAATATATGGATTTGTGTAGAAATTGTGGATTGGAGAGGAAAAAGAAGCAATTTTGATACAAACTTACTTTGCTTACCTGTCCACTTGCAGAATTAATTCTTTCAGTCAGGTTGGTAAAAGTCTGAGATTTCATACATCGCTCTTTCAAACTATGTTTTGTGGCCTGAATCCGGTCCTGCTCCTATCACTTGACAATCAAGCTGCCACGGAACACAAGGTAATGTCATTTATCTGTCAGTGTCAAACGAGTATATGTTTTATGGGGTAATTGCTTTATAGTTTGGTGTTTATATTATCAAAATCATTTTCTGGTAAACGGGAAACGATAAGTAATGATTTTGTCGATTCAATAGTTTTTAATGGTAAAATAATACAGTGATACGAAGGACTTTTACCAATAACACAATGGCGGATAGACTGACTCAACTACAAGACTGTGTAAATCAGGTAAAACTTCAAATACTTATTCAAAATCCTTACCTAATCGATCTCATTTTCATAAAATAGCAAGCAGAACACTTCTGCAATAGCATAGGAATTCTTCAGCAGTTTGCACCGCCAAGCAAATTCCCAAACTTTGATAGAAGCGGGTCGCAAACACCACAACAGCAACAGACGCAAGAGGACTATGTCCAGCTCTTCACCACGTTGATTGCAAGATGTGCAAAAGACATTGATACTCTCATTGAATCTCTTCCAAGTGAGGAAAGCTCCACAGAAATACAGGTAAATTGATATAGTTTTACATAGTAAACAACCATTGCCAAATGAGGCCCTAGGGCTTTTGAGAATAACTTCTGTTTTAGAGTTATAAATTATATTTTTTGGGTGCTTTTCACTGTTAGGGTCCTACACGGAATATTAAATGATTTAGTTTAGTAATGAAGGACAAATGTATGCTTACGATTTAAATTTTTTCTAACCTCAAATCGCAAATTTGACCAATCATTGGTATGTTTGCCAGTTATGTAGGCAGCCTTCCCTCAAGAAGGAAATGATTTTCCATTTCTAGCAACCTGTTTTTACTTCAACTCTAACTAGGAATTGCTATTTAAAGTAGTTTTTTAAAAACAAAAAATTGGACTAAACACTTATTAATTACTTGTAGCTCCAGAGTTTAAGGATACTAGAACAAGAAAACCAAGAAGCTGCAGAACGACTTGAAGCTGTAGTAAGAAATGGTCAGGAATTATTAGAGAAAATTCAGGCAGCACTCAGTGATATTGCCCAAGCTCAATTAGACATGCAGCATTTGACAAAAACTGCTACTGGTAGCAAGGAATAATTTTATCATTGCTGAATTTTAGTTTTAAGTTAAAAATATGGTTGTAACTTACTTTTAAGGTATAAGTGAATAAAATAAATATATTACAATTTCCTAAAATAAAGATGATTCTGTTGAGATATTGCTCCTTTTAGATATATTGGCTAGAGGTCCCATTTAATTCAGCACAAATTTAACCTTTAAAAACTATAGCAGATCAGTATTGGCCCCTTCTTGCACTCAAAAAAGGTTGAACAAGCTCCAGGCTGTGCCTTGAATTGATCAAAATTATTTCTTTACAAAACTGATCAAAATTATTTAAGTAGACAAACCAATAATGATTGAGCACTTTCTACTTCAAATGATTTACTCCATTTCTTTGCTCTATTCTCTCCTGCCTTGAGCAGCCATACTTGACAAAACAGAATTTTAACTAATGATAAATGACAAATAGGAAAAAAATATGTTTAGATATTAGGACCAACACTGCTATGATGTTGTTTATCTATGTGGATAAAAATACATTTTTACAAACACCACAATTTATTTTCTAAATTAACAAGAGCTACAGTATTACATTTATCAGCAACTTACTTTAATTTGCTCATCAAATCTTTGGTAACACAGTGATCAACAGCATGCAATAAATCAAAAAGTTCTTCTACACAAGTTTCTGTTGTTTGTGATCTGGAGTTGACCCTATCGTTGCAGGCTTGATATTTTTCAGCTAAGTGTTTGCAGTGTTCAGTATCCCTGCATTTCTCCTAAAAAATGGGAAATTAAGTGAACCATTAATAGACGAGCTCATATTATTTGTCCAAGAATGATTACCCTCAAAACGTCCTGCGGATCTACCAGCTCCTCTTCTTCCTGGGCTTTGACCGAAGGAAGTTTTGCAAAAAGCTTTTCGAAGAACATTTTTTCGGAACTCTCAAAATTGAAGCCAAAAAACTATTTACGTAATCTTTCGTTTTTCCCTATAAAAAAATGGTCGAAGGTCGAAGGTCACGGAGCAGTGGGAGCAAAGAACATGGAACACTGATTTTCCAGAGCTGGCAAGCTCCTGTTCAAGTTGTGTGTCCTGTAAAAAGAAATTCTGACAGATGTTGGAAATACTTATACGTGATTGGTTAGTTGCTTGGCAGCGTCTGTAATGATTGGTTTATTTTGGAAGTGATCTAACATGGCGCTTGTTATTTTAAGTACTAATAATCTACCTCACTCGGCTATCTTCAAGCCTCCCATTCTATGGTACTTTGATAAATCACAAAACAAAAATAATTTCAAAATGTTTGAGAAAGTTGAAAATTTATTTGGAATATTATTCTTTAAGACATGAATATCTCATTTCATAAAATTGTACATAACTCGAAAACACATTTTGAGTTACGCCGTATACTGTTGACGTGTGTTTGACGTTTCTCGGAGGTTAGGAAGTTTAGGGCATTTTGCTGTGTATTTTTACGGGAAAACGTTTTTATAATAGTTGCAACATCAATTTGCGGATAATATATATTAAAGACTTTTTCTCGGGTAATTGTTATGTGTTTTTGGCTATTTCATTATGTTCATCTTTATATTTCTTGATCCGAGTTGATTTATGTTTAGTTAATCATTGATAGTCAAATTTTTTGTTGAGCTGCAAAGAGGTAAAGTATTTCCAATGAAATAGTGTTTTTGGCCTTAATCTGAGAACTATTTTGTTTCAGAATTATGAACGGGACCATCATGGATCGTCATGGGCAAGGAAATCCCAAGCTACGCAACTATAAACTGATGGTAGATCCCTTTTTGGTCAAAGGGGCCACAAAGCTGTACCGCTATGATGGAATTGTTCCAAACGAACCTTCTTACTCCTGTGGGATGCCTAGAGATCCTAGGTCTCATATTCGTATGTGGTCAAGGCTGGAAACATTGGATCTTCCTGTACCTAGGTATGTTTACATGAAAAAATATATGAGCCAAATTTTGGATCAAGTAAATTTTGCTCAATTTGAACATGAAAACATCAGAAAAATATTACAATAGTTTTGAAACCAATAAAAACAACATCTTTGATTATCCTAATGAGCTTGTTCTGTTTCCAAATAACATCTTATGTTTCTTTATTATTAATAACAGAAAAAAAACTAGTATTTTGTTTCAGATATATGAGTTTGTTAGCATATGCCTTTTCCACAGGTTTGCACAGTCAAATTAACTTTTGGCAAAATTAATGTAAACATAACCTGACTTTTGTCTGTTTTTTTATTTTGCTTATGAATTGAGTAAAAAGATACAAAGCAATATTCTTGGCTAAAATATAAAACAGTATGTAACTAATAGTGAGAAAATTTATCCAATTATGAATTTTTTCATCAAAATTTGCAATTTTTGTTTGTTTCAAATAGTGTTTTTATAAGCTTCATTCAGAGCTTATAAGAAGTAATTTAACACAGAATTGAGCAATGGTGTTATAAAATTTCAGGCTTTTCAAGAAATTTTGTATCAGAAATAACATATTTTCACTTTAGCATTTTTGAGCACATACAAAACAAGACGAGTAGGATTATCCTATTCCTGCTTAGCTATATTTATATTAATGTTGTCAATATGGTCCATAATATTCATTAAGTTTGGATTACAATGCCTGGCATTCCTAACCTAAAAATTTTATGTTGCTTCCCTTGGAATGAACATATTAAAAGCCCCTTTAATGTGTGTATGTTACATGCTTCTATATTGATAAGCTACAATATAACGTTTAAGATTAACAATTCCCAATCACAATATCAGTATCAAAATGAAGTATTACAAAACATTTCTGAGAAACTGATGTTCTAGCAAATATCCTCAACTTATAATGCATGATTTGCAATGATGTGAAATGTAAACATGTAGATTGAACATTTGTGTGAAAGCTGATGATGAACTTATACCAATATATAGTAAAATCAACTAACCATACCACTTTAACCCAACTAAAGGAGGGGTGTGTGGCTCAAATCTATTTTAATACATAGTAAGAGAAATTGTGAAAAATCAAATCTACAGCATAATTTTTTGTGATATAGAACCATAACACCTTATTTCAGCAGCAGCAAAGATTGGAAGATCTTTTAAATATACTCATATTTTTTTTACTTAAATTTTAAGTTACATAAAATGACAACTCATCAAATCATTAGGCAACATGAAACATAAATGAAGGACTTTCTTATTTTACGCTTTATGGTTCCGTGATGCGAAATTGACAAATGGCAGTTGACATACCATTTTTATAATCAACAACAGGGTTGGACTTAGCACTATATTTATATTGCCTTACCTTATACCAGGGGAGTGAAACGTTTTATGGGCGAACTGCCACATCAAGGTCATCCTCTCGAGGCAAAATCGAGGTAACTATTATCGTCATCACGTGACGTGCTGCTTGCCGGGATTCCGGGTTGCCAGGCGATTTTTCGGCAAAGTGGCGATTTGACGGATTCAAATGGATAGCCTGGCGATTAGTTACTTTAATGCCACCCAATATCCAGCAAACTGGAAATTGAGGCTGTTGCATCTTGTGGAATTTCCGATTTCACTGTTTTTTCTCTTAAAACTTTTAGAGGGTAGTCTGATAGATTATTTAGAAACAAAAAAAGTGTGGATGAAGGACGCTTTTCATGAAAAAAAAAAATCCCAAAACATTGTATTTTTAGCTGTTCTTTCCATCATTATTTCCACCCACATCTATCTGCCTATGACGTAGACGTCTGTGCATATGTCATATATGGGAGGCGCTTGCCTGCGGTGTTGCCGGATTGGGCTCCGCATTTAGGGAAAAATATGAAAAATTGAAAATTTATTATTGAAATTAATTAATTAATGAATCACGAAAAACTGAAACAAGCAACAGTAGCAAAATAAAAGGCGATTCCTAATAAGTATAAATCAAAAAATAACAGTAGTAAGCGAAAAAATTATAAATTATAAATAATTATAAAAAACAAAAAATACAAACAGTAGTAAAACAAAAACTAATTCCATGTGATTATAAAAATAAAAAATAACAAACATCAGTAAAATAAAAAGTAGTAAAACAAAAAAAAAACAATTCCATGTTGAATAGAAAGTAATTCTAAGTGACAACGCAAAACAAAAAGTAAAAACAGTAGTAAAACGAAGAACAATTCCATTCCATCCAAATTGCTTTTTATTTTACTGTTTGTTATTTTCTTTATAATTAAATGGAATTGTTTTTTGTTTTACTGCTGTTTGTTGTTTTTTGTTTTATACTTAGTAAGAATCACTTTTAATTTTACTACTATTGTTTGTTTCAGTTTTTTGTTTTTGTGTTTCATTAATATAAATGTATAGAAATTTTCCACTTTTCATATTTTTCCCTAAATACGGAGCCCTATCCGGCAACACCGCAAGCAAGCGCCTCTCATATATGACATACCCACAGACGTCAGTGTCATATGGTAGATGGCGGTGGAAATAATGGGGGAAATAACTGCTAAAAAATACAGGGTTTTGGGGAAAAAAATTCATGAAAGGCGTGCTTCATCCACACTTTTTATGATGTAAAATAATTTATTAGACTACCCTCTATAAGTTTCAAGTGAAATACAGTGAAATCCGAAGTTCTTCAAGACGCAACACTACCGATTTTTAACATTTCTGACGCCAATTAATTTGTAATCAATTTTTGCTGATATGTGTATACAGGGAAAACCAAATTTGTCGGACGACTTGAGTTCAATGTGTACGAGAGAGAAGCGTGAGCAGTGTGTGTCAACACGTTAGAAAGAGATAGAAGCCGGCTGAAGAGCGGAGGTCATCACCACATTGCCTAGCAACGGTGACGCAGAAAATATTTAATTCAAGGAACTGGTCTAACGTAATGACGACAAGGCAGATTGCCGCGTCAGCGTTGATAGGCAAAGCCGGCTTCTATCTCTTTCTAACATATGTGTCTATAGATACTTCTCTCTCGAACACATTGACCTCAAGCCGTCAGACAAATTTGGTTTTTAGTGGAGATTCATGAAACATTAAAGGAGGACCAGCGGAAGTTCTGTTCTCTAAGCACAATGACGCTTATGGTCAAATGTCACGTCATGGTGTCGTGTTCCGAGCATATCAACGACATCACATCCTAACACTTTTGACACATTGTTGCTTGATGTACGATTATTACAATTTTTGTACGATAACCGGGAGAAGAGAGAGAGTCACCCCCCAATCTCAGGCATAATAAGCGTTAATGTCCTTTAATGTGTTAGATCCTGATGTGTTATTCTCCCTATGTTCTAATTTGATGCTAAGGGCCGTAAATGCTTACTTAACGCCCTAGATACATAAGTAACTACTGTTTTGTCTCAATTTGTGTGATGCTATTAAGCAAGTTGAATAATTGTATAGATTCTGTATTAAAGATTGAGTACCATAAATCTTTAAATCTATCATCACTATCGAATTTTAACAATCTACGTTTGATTTCGTATTTTCAGATTCAAAATTGATGTAAACTACGTTGGTGCGCCTCCCTCAATTGAGGTGACCATTTTCCATCTGAATGACAACATTGACAAACAGTTCTTGCGCGATATGCTGCTGAAGTTTGGTGAGATAGAAGAACTGTTCATCTACTATCATCCGATCACCAACAAACATCTGGGTATTGGAAGAGTTGTGTTCGAGTGCGTGAAAAGCGCTAAGGCGTGCGTGGAAAAGCTGAACAATACCAGTGTTATGGGAAAGATACTCGACGTTTTCTTGGATCCTTTTGGCGAGAAGGTATGTGCGACTCCCTGTTTCTCCCAATTTTTATGTCTGCCCTGATGAAACCATGGTTCAAAGGCAGTTTATGTTGAAGTCTGTTAAAAGAGGAGCTCAAATACAAATTCTTTGGCGTAATGGGGTATCTTGTCATTTTCCTCGTGTATCAAAAAAACCCTTAACGCACAATGCTCATGCCTCTTATTGCTGAATATATTTATTTATGTGGTTATTTCACAAAGTGTGACGGTGGCCGATTTTCTGTATTAGTATACTAAGTGACATATAAATCCGAACACCCAGTTTAAATGGTTTTATTTTAATAAAATTTTGTATAAGTACTTAATAAGTAAATGATAAAAATTTCAAAATGATTGCACTGCTTTAAAGCCCTTTGTCCTTTAATAATGTGTGGATGCACCCTGATGTGCTACGCATTCTCCAACGCGCCTAGGCATGCTTCTGATCAGGTGGTCATTGTCCTCCTGTGGTATCTCATTCCAGGCAACCACCAACTCCTCTCGAAGTGCTTCTAGAGTCTGAGGAGGACGTTGCAAATTGAGCAATCTCCTACCCATCATATCCCAAACGTGCTCAATTGGGGATAAGTCGGGAGATCTTGGTGGCCTTGGTAACAATGTGACATCATTATGTTGAAAGAAGTCTATTGTGACTCTTGCAACATGTGGTCGGGCATTATCTTGTTGGAAAGTTGGATCTGCCAGGGTGTCAAGATAGGGTAAAAGATGGGGTTCTAGAACTTCGTGGATATAACGCTGCGCGTTCATGTTACCTCTGATGAAGATTAAAGGTGACCTGGAACCATAAGCTATAGCACCCCAAACCATAACTCCAACAGTGTGATGAACATGTCTTTCAACAAAAAACTGTGGATTCCTCCTTTCAGCACGTCGCCTTCTAACCCTGGCACGACCATCGTGCATCCCTAAACAAAATCGATACTCGTCACTAAAGACAATACTGTTCCATTCCTGATCCCAGAGTGACCGTTGTCTGCACCACTCAAGGCGATTACGTCGGTGTTCTCGAGTTAAAGGGAGGACCCAGTGTGGCCGGTATGAAAACAAGCCAAAACTTCTCATTCGTCGGTAAACACTTCGCATGCCAATAGGTCTTCCGTGTTCTGCAAACCATTCATTTGCAATGGACCTGGTAGTGGAGAAACGGTCCCTTAAGGCCAATAATCTTAGGCGGCGATCTTCACGGTCTGTTGTTCTACGGCGGCGTCCAGTGCCCCTTGCTCTTTGCGTATGGCCTTCTCGAAGCCATGCCTGACAACACCTAACCACAGTGTCTACACTTCTTTGCACTCTAACTGCAATTGCCCGAAAAGAAAGTCCAGCTTCCCGAAGTTCCACTATACGGCCCCTATCAAACTCACTAAGTTGACGAAATCGAAGAGGTTTCCTTACTCTAGGCATCGTAACCGATCGTAAAGGATGTCAAGAACCAAAATCCGCCAACGTTGATTCTTTACTGCGGCTGAAATATTCATTTTTAGAGCGTTAGTGAATTAAAAAAAGCAGTATAAAAACCGGAATGTCCAACTGATAAGGCTGAAAATTTTTTCACTTGTTATTTACAGTAAGATAAATACATTCACCAACTTTTATTAAAATAAAACCATTTAAACTGGGTGTTCGGATTTATATGTCACGTAGTATATTATGTCACTAGTCCTGTTTCTCAGACCCAGATTCTGCGTAACCCACATCTTCCACTTTTTGATATTCCGAATTTTCATAGTTTTCCGTGACAACTGCGACGATGTCAGGACACTAGACCACTTTTTAATTCTCTTGCGTTGTTTTTTCCATTTGAAATGGTACTCACGCCCACACCCTATTTCTATGCTGCTCCATCTTAGCGATTATGAACCTGACTGAAACAAACATACCCGCACACACCAGTGAATTCCGCAAACGCGATTGGGGAATCACCGGCAGCGAATCTAATGACGCAAACGCCGAAAGGGGAACTACCGGCGGCTATTTCGGATCTTGCACCGATTTCCCGAACAACTTCGGTTAAAACGGAGAAATTATTGTATGCGATCCGTTTCGTATTATCGCGATTCGGAAAATCGGGGTTCTACTGTAGGTCGTTTAATGACCTGTTACCTCCTCAGGCTACGCACCGTTGATGATGACACGATTTTATTCTAGTGCAAGAAAAAATTCGAGGACGTCACCGTCGAAAAGAAACCTCCTCCTGCTCCCATGGACACGACGCCTGTCAAAACGTCCAAGACGGATGATAAATCAAAAACCACCGAAGACAAACCGTACGATCCGGGCGACAACGATTTCGACGATCGCGATCACTACAAGAACAAAACCAATGACAAGGACCACGCGGACGAGTACGAAAGCAAGAAGTCCAGAGATAGGGAGCGTGACAGAGACAGGGATAGAGAACGCGACAGAGATCGGGATAGGTACAGTGGCGGCGGGAGGAGTTATAGGAGCGGTGATTTTCCGACGCCAAGTGGATCAGATTTGGGGTATGGGACGGCGCCCAGTGAGTTTTCGGCTAGTTTTAGTTCTGCGGGCACTACACCTCTCTCGTAAGTATTTCTTAACCCTACAGGTTTTATGGTAATCGGTATTTCTTATTCTCTGACAAAAATAGTAGCAGAAAGTCACCAGTAATATCTACTTCCAATAGGCCAAATGTAGGACCATAATGCGATTTGATTAATCTCCCTGTTGTGTTAGAAAATTGTATCGGAATGGAAATCAGATTAAAGTAAAGTGAGATTTTGTCAAAAGTGTGCTTAATGAATGCTTTGCAAGAATATTATTCATAAAATTATAAAAAGTTTATGATTACTGGAAGTGAAAATGATTGGCTAGAATACACAAGATGAAGAAACCAATCTGTAGCAGTTCTACGAGATGAAAAGAAAAAGTACTACAATGCCAAAATTGATCAGAGTGAAAATAATAGCAAACATATGTGGAAAACGTTGAAAAACATTGTTTCTTGTATTGGAAACAGTACATTATCTAAAATGAAATTCGACGATGGGGTAATAACAAATGTAGAAATAATAGCAGATCGCATGAATACCTATTTCATAGAAAATGTCAACGACATTGTAATATCAATTATTGACGGGGATCCCAACCAGTGTCCCATTAGCTCAGATTATAATGCATCATCCACTGAGTTTAGAACAATAAACATTAATCGTCTCAAGATTATATCAAATTTGTGTATGTATTGGTACTGAAGTCAGTACCACATGTACAACGTCAATATCTTAACCAACTTAGATTAAAAAATTATAATTTCAATACCCTGTACCGCGATAAGAAGGCATTTTTATTTTTTTAACCTTTAAATATAGTAGTAGTAGTAGTAGTAGAAAGATTTATTTAGCACATTTGGCTACATAAACAGAATAATTGTAAACAACTTAGAACTAGTAAATTCAAGCCATATGGTGTATGATGTAAATGCTGGGCAACCTATAATTGTAGATTTAACAAGTGATTTCTCAATTTTACTTTAAATTTTGTCAAAGTTTTCTGGTCTTTTATCTCCGAGTATAATTTATTATATTCAATCAACCCTTGATGGAATACAGATTTGTAGCATATGTTATACTTTTTGGTCATTAAATGGAAGTCATCTTTATTTCTGGTATTATGTAAATGATGGTCGACATTTGATGATGTTAAATTAGTTAGACTTGATGGAAATATATTATTTTTTACTTTATAAATGAATATCATTACAAAATATTTGATAAAATTTTTTACATTGAGCCATTTTAATTTGCTAAGCATTTGCCTAATTGGAGTATATTTATCTTTATTTAGTATTATTCTCATGCACTGTAAAATTTGCAGTCTTTCAAAAATGGAATTATTTGCTAAATATAGAATAGTCGAACAGTACAAAAAATTTGGAAGAATGATGGTAGTATAGATAATTTTTCTGCTATATGAACTCAGACATCCAGAAACTCTCGATAAATATCCCACTTTACTACTAATCTTATTTATAACTTTTTCATAATGAATATCAAAAATTAATCGAGAGTCAACAAAAACCCCCAGGTATTTAAAATTTTCTACGAATTCAATATCTTCACCATCAATATTCAGTTGAACATTTGTACATTGTTTTTTCCGATTAACAAGGCTTTCGTTTTACTCGCATTTAATTTTAGTCTGTTAGATGCTAACCATTTTGAGACAAGCTTCAAGTCTTCACTTATATAAGAGATACCAGACTGAATATTTTTAGTACTTATATAAATCATAGTGTCATCGGCGAAAATCTGAATTTTGCATTTTTTGACTGTGGCAGGTGAATCATTTATGTATAAAATAAAAAGAAGTGGTCCCAGGCTACTGCCCTGTGGAACACCCAACGTATTTTAATTTTTGATGAAACAGTGTCATTAACTTTTGTAACTTGCATCCTTTTATACAAATAATTTCTAAACCAATCTAAAACACTTCCTGTTATACCATATGCCTTCAATTTACCTAACAAAATATCTCTATCAATCGTTTCAAATGCCCTCTTCAAATCCAAAAATACTGCTATGACAACTTCTTCTGAGTCTGTGGCTCTTCTCCAATTCTCAGTTACCAACTGGAAAGCTGTTTCTGTGGAATATTTTTTTCGAAAGCCGGCTTGCGCCTCCACTAAAATTTTGTTTTCTTCTATAAACTGCATTAATTGGTCATGCACTACGGACTCTAATAATTTTTCAAGGTCTGGTAACACATTTACTGGTCTCATATCGCTGCATCTTTTAGAATTTTTTATTTTGGGAACTGGTGTTATTGTAGAGCATTTCAAATTTTCAGGAAAAGAACTGCTTCTCAGTGAACAATTGATCCAATTTAATACAGGATATCCCAAAATTTGGAAACAGTTTTTCAGCACGTTTTTAGTAGTGATTTCGGCACAGTTGTTATTTGATTTTAAACGGTTTACTTTTTTCTTAGATAATTCAATGATACGCTATGAAGATTTGAAAGTGTATGCAACATTTCCCCCTGGAAACTGATTTTCATATAGTCAGGTGCAGCATTGGCAGTACCCACAATATCAACAATACTTTCCATAAAATATTCATTCATGGTCACGTTTTTTTTTTAATACCCTGGATATTTTCCAGGTACGAGTTCCACGGCCATGCATTGATCTCAACCGGCGGCAGCCACTCTTACCCGCCTCCGCCCACCGCCGCGCCTCCCGGCTTCGGCACGCCCACCAGCTACCATCACCCCGGCCACCACGCGCCTCCCCCTGCAGTCGCTGTCGCCGCCCCTCACCATCCCCACCACGCGCCGCCGATTGGAGCCCCCCCACCGACGCCGGTCTGGCCAATGGCTGCGCCGGCCACGCCCCAATGGCCGTGGGAACGTTCGCCGGTCGGACCGCCTCCTGCCGTTGCGCCGGGGCAGGCGAAATGGCCGCCGCTACCGGACGACGCGCGGCATTCGTCCAGGAGTAGCGGCGGTAAGGAGAGGGAGCGAGATAAGGATAAGAAGAGGAGTGGGAGCGGGAGCGGAAGTAGGTATAGCAGCAGAAAGGAGAGGGATCGAGAGAAGGAGAGAGAAAAAGAGAAGGTTAGTTGCATGAGATGATTGTTTGAAACATTTTTGTAATCGATCCCAAATTGTGAAGTTATCAAGACCGAATAAATTGAATAATGGCTGATTTTTTTGCTAGTATCTTTTTGGCAACACTGTTTTTGACAGATGACGCGTGAATCGTGTCTTGTGTTATTGTCAAACTTGTTCAGTTTGGTCTATAATTTAACCATGAATCGACTTACGAACGAACAACGCTTGCAAATTATTGAATTTTACTATCAAAATTCATGCTCGGTTAAGAGAGTGCATCGAGCACTGCTTCCAATTTATGGGCAATTTGGTCGGCCTACTGAGGGAGCTACTCGGAAGCTTGTGACTAAATTTCGAAAACAGTTTACATTATTGGACATTAAACCACCAACACACAGACGTAGAGTGAGGACTGAAGAAAATATTGCGGCTGTATCCGCCAGTGTTAGTGATGACCGTGAAATGTCGATTCGCCGCCGTTCGCAGCAACTGGGCCTCTGTTACTCTACGTGGAAAATTTTGCGACAGGATTTGGGTGTAAAACCTTATAAGATACAGCTGGTGCAAGAATTGAAGCCACACGACCTTCCACAATGTTTTCCATTTGGTGAATGGGCGCTGGCAAAGTTGGAGGAAGATCCACATTTTTATCGAACAATTGTGTTCAGCGACGAAGCTCATTTCTGATTGAATGGGTACGTTAACAAGCAAAATTGCCGCATCTGGAGTGAAGACCAGCCAGAAGCATTGCAAGAGCTACCAATGCATCCCGAAAAAATCATTGTTTGGTGTGGATTATGGGCCGGTGGCATCATCGGGCCGTACTTCTTCAAAGACGACAATGGCCGAACGTAACTGTGAATGGCGAACGCTACCGTGCGATGATAACAAACTTTTTTTTGCCCGAAATGGAAGAGCTGGATTTGGCTGACATGTGGTTTCAACAAGACGGTGCCACATGCCACACCGCACACGAAACAATGGCCCTTTTGAGAAGCGATTCTGGTGAACAGTTTATCTCACGTTTGGGGCCCGTCAATTGGCCGCCTAGATCGTGTGATTTAACGCCTTTGGACTATTTCTTGTGGGGCCATGTTAAGGCTAATGTCTACAGGGATAAACCAGCAACGATTGACGCACTGGAAGCCAATATTGAAGCATTTATTCGTGAGATACCGGCCGATATGTTGGAGAGAGTGTGCCAAAATTGGACCTTGCGCATGGGCCATCTAAAGCGGAGCCGCGGCCAACATTTATATGAAATAATCTTTAAAAATTAAATTATATCGACCGTTCTATCGACTCAAATCAAGATTTAATCGTTTTTTTCAAATTTCACCATCAAATCTGTGGGACTGATCATTGACCTAAATTAGATTTTACTAATCATGAAGGCAAATTGCTTACTCAACTAGCAAAGATTTTCTTTATTATAAGAATAGTTAGTAGAATGTAGGGAAAAGCGCAGCCTGAAGCCGTTACTTTACCTTATTTGAAACTAGATTGATATGTCTGTTTCCAAAATTGTTTAAAAAAGTGCCTATTCTACGAAAACGAACTATTAGATATATAACTAAAACTTTTCAATATGTAAACCATCTGTGAGTTCTACAGTGCGCCTACTTAATAAGCATACAGTAGCGGACAAAAGTTTGGACACAAATATTAACTTTATTATGAACTATTTAATTTACCTAAATTCAAATTGTGAAGGAACAGATAATATAAATATTAGTCTACCTTGACTCCCGCACTAATACAAGATTTATCTTATCAATATTCAAATTCTCTGAAAATCAAAACACGCGTTTTTTTAAATAGCACAGTTTCATCACATTTCAGTTTTGCCGTATTTATTCGTTCTGCGATACTCTGATATTGCGTGCGGTAAAGTTCAACATCAGTGAGAATGACAAAAGTAAAATGATTTTTAAAGGATTGAAGAGACCAAGTAATTGAATCATTTAGAAGTGGTGTCAGAAATGTTGACATTTCTCAAAGATTAAAAATGAACAAAGGGCCGATTTCGAAAATGATAAGTAAATATCAAGAATACGGATCAACAGCAAGCAAATTTAACTTGTTTGTCCGCTGTATATGTAATTATGTTATGGTGTAGTTCGAAATGAACTTTGTCATTAAGAATATTGTATTCTTCATCCAATAAATCATATTTATCTATCTATCTAAGACTGTTTCTTTTGCCTTTTCAGCCCACCGACGAAGAGACCAACCAACTGGACCTGGACACGCGTATCGCCCTGCTACTAAAAGAAAAAGGTTGCGGCGGCATGGCACCTCCCTTCCTCGCCCTGAGCGCGGACTCTGACGACGAATCAAAAACGTTGGACACGAAGTCCCTAATTCCTCCTCCTGCCGCGATTCCGGCGTCGGCGCTAGTGGTCAGCGACTTCGAAGATGACGACGACGACAGGTCGAGCGTGTCGCTGAGCGACATGCCCATCAATCCGCCGTGTCCGGAGGATGACATCGATGTGCCGCCGAGGGAGGATCACAATCCGCCGTTGTCGGATCCGCCGTCGCCGTTTTTGTCCAAGGAGATTTATCTGGAGTGGCATCAGAGGGGCATCGAACAGGTGAGAGGAATTGAAAGAAAACTCAGTGAACTTTCACCAGATCACTTTGAACATTTATTGTGAATTTAATAATACATTATTTCTTTTTTTTTGCATAGGCCGTTGTTGCTCGACAACGTGAAGCTCTGGAAACTACAGCACTGCTGAAAAAGGTTCATATAGAGATGAATAAAATAGGCAGTGACATATCGTCAAGTGAAGATGAACTACTCACTGGAGGAAACAATTATAGTCCAATAGGCACATCTGATTCCAAGGCGTTTAAGGTATGTTTTCGTTCTATTCCATATTGGCTCAAATAGTGTAAGATATGTTCGAAATAAAGTGGCATCAACGGAGAAAGTACTTTTAGAGTAACTCAAGAAATTAAAGCTGGAAGGGAACACAGATACAGATATATTGGAAAATAATAATAATAATAATAATAATAATATTTATTCACTCAATGTACAAAGATAACAAACAATATGAGTAAATAAATACAGGGTGTCCGCAAAGTTGGGGTTTTCCTTTACTCGACGTGTAGATCTTGAAAACATAAGCAATTTTTCTTAGTACCATATACACCAATGTCTTAAGGGAACCGAGATAAAGGGCTCTGCAACATCAAAAATATCTGAATACCGTCCTGTAGCCGCGACTCGCGACATCCCCAACTGGTACTAGGACACTAGCTCAACCCGACGACAGAACTGGGTCGGGGGTCGGGGTCAGTGTGTCAGGTCAGTATGCAACCTTCAACCGACGGTTACGGTCACGCGTGTAGAGGTAAACGAACCCGTATAATCGATTGCGTTTCAAAAAACAACAAGCACTAGAGACGTGGCTAGAGAAGTGCAAGTATCAAAAACTAAAGTGTGGCAAACGTTGCGTGAAGAGGGGCTGTATCCGTTTCACGTCCAACGTGTACAAGCCCTTCAACCTGACGATTTTCCAGCAAGAGTGCGGTTTTGTGAGTGGTTGTTGCATCAACATGACAATAATCCGGACTTTTTGAAGTGCATATTGGTGACAGACGAATCTACGTTCACGCGTAATGGGGTGAATAACTTTCGCAACACTCATGTCAGTAGAAAATCCGCAACGCTGTCCGACGGGCACATTTTCAACAAACATTTTCGGTGAATCTTTGGGCTGGCATGGTGAACGGTATGCTCATTGGACCATTTATTCTCTCAAATCGATTGGACGGGATGCAATACCTAGACTTTTTACGCAACATTTTGCCTTCCTTGTTAGAAGATGTGCCATTAAGTGTAAGACAATCAATGTGGTTTCTGCACGATGGTCATATGTGTTACCTCTGTTCGTGGTCTACTGGTTTGCACCACCGCCGGCGTCTGCTCGGTAGCGCATCAGCTGATTTCATTTTCTGTTGGAGCGGTATGATTTCGGGCAGAGACGTACTTAGCCCTTCTCGTCAACTGGAGAGTGAGTACTTTTTTCTTTATTTTTTTTACTTGGTCGCCCTCGTTTCACTACACATTACCTTTGTTATTTCAAGGGTAGTTGTTTCTGAAAAGGAAAACCCCAACTTTGCGAACACCCTGTATAAAATCAAAACAGGCCCAATACAAGGCATCGCCTGTACATGGACCAATAATTTTAGTTGCAACTGTAGAATGCAAATGACAAAAAAGGACAAAAATTAGCTACAGTTGATTATGTATTTACTTGATGTTCGTATTTATGAGCTTATGAATTTCAGTCCTAGATATAGAATGTAGCCACTTTTTTAAATTTCTTTTGAAACAATTTCCGAAACGTAAATCTTTTAAGTCTTTAGATATAATTTCATAAAATTTTGGCGCTAAATAGAGATATGACCACTGCATTATAGATTTATGTTCGTACACATTATCCTTTCTTTGCTTCACGAAGGATTTGAAGAAGTACAATTTTTTTATTGTTCAACTATTTTGTTTACAGCAAATGAAAACATATTTTGAAGATTACCAAGTCTACAAAACAAAGCTAAGATAATCATTTGTTTTACATTCAACCATTTTATATATATATATATATATATATATATATATATATATATATATAGCACATAAACATTTGGACACTGATTTAGAACTGTTAAATAGTGATATTAAAAAAATTATG